AGGTTTTTGAGCTTTTGAGCCATGGGAAATATACAAGGTTCCTCACCAGTTTTAGCAATACCTACTCTTGGGGGAGGGTCTAGAGGATGTCCTATATGAGGAATATCTTTAGCATAAGGGTCAAGGCATTCACTAAAGCAGGAAGTAGATTTTTCTTGTGAAAGTTGTTTTTCGTTAACAGAGGGATAATCACAAGAAATCGCAGATTTTGGATTCTTTCTCTTTTCTTCTTCTGCTTCAGCGTTTTCTTCATCACTTCGAAAATACCTTTTCTCGCCAAACCCTAGTCCCATGTAATCTTTGTTATAGTTTTGAAGACAGATAACTTTCTTTAGATTACGTGGGTTGGTTATGCCCAGTCCTATTCTAGCATTGTAAAATCAGTCATCCTTTTGTTTGTTGTTAAGCAGAAAAACTGTTTGTTCTGATTGGCCTCTCTTAGCAGCTAGATCCTCTAGTTCTTTTATTTTATTTAAAAGTGTTCTTCTCTTGTTATGCAAAAAATCGCATTCAGCCTTTGCTGTGCTTTTTTCTCGTTCACTATCCTCAAATTTCCTAGTTAATTCAGCTATCTTAAGTTCAAAGCTTTCAAAATCTGAGGACACCTTTTTGACCTGATCTTTTGCAATTTCAAGTTGAACACTTAAGAAAGACTTTTGGTCTAGATTCTATTTCAGTACACTGTGATTATTGTCTAGTCTCTCCTTTAGTTCTTTGATTAGATTGTCCTTCTCAAGTAAGGACTTCATTTGGTTATTTAAAGGAGTATGAGAGGTACTTACAGAACTTGTTGAGCATTCGGTTTCGGGGATCGCAACATCACCCTTTGTTTCATCTTCCTCCACTCGTGCCATCAGGGCATAGTTGTCTTCCTCCTCCTCCTCCTCAGAAGAGTCTTCTGCCCAGTTCTCATTCTCAGCAATCATTGCAGAAGTTTCTTCTTCTTTCTGCACCATCAACATTTTCTGCTTATTCCACAGCATCTTTTGCTTGTAGAAATTAGCATCTTTCTTCTTTGGGAGGCGGCAGTCTTTGATGACATGTCCAACCTTACCACAATTGTAGCATTTTGGAGTGTCTTTTGCTGATGGCGCCTTCCTTGAAGATCCTTGATCATGGTTCTTCTGTTTGTAGTTTGAGGAGGAGGTTCTAAGCTTGTTGGAGGAGCTGTTCTTCTTAGCAAATCTCTTGGCAAGCAGTGCCATTTTCTTCTGTAGGTCTGCAAGCTCAGCCTCTAGATCAGATTTGTCATCTTCACTTTCATCATCATCTGATTCAACCACCACCTTCTTCTTTTTCTTCTTTAGTGATGTGGTTGTCCTTCTGGGCTGAGCCTCCATTACAAGAGCTAAGGGATTTGTGGTGTGATGATCCTCGGCACAGGCAACCTCGTTGACAAATTGCTTAAGATGTTCATAGAGGGTGCAGAGGTCAATTTCATCCAAGTCAATCCGAGATCGAACATCCTTCACTGTCTTTTCCCATGCAGGATGCAGGCTGGATAGAAATCTAATATTCAGTTCCAAGTTGGACCTGAATACTTTGATTTTCCTGAGTTCATTGACCAATTGAATGAGTCTGTTGTACGTCTCATTCAATGGTTCTCCTGGACCTGCTTTGAAGGAGTCATATGCGATAAGAATTGTCGTCTTCTTTGTCTTAAGGCTAATGCTTGTGCCTTGAAGAAGTTTCTCTATTTCATCCCACATTTCCTTAGCTGTTTGCATGCTGTCTATGAGAACGTATACTTCATTGGGGATTGCTTGAAGAAGGTATGTTTTGGCCATGAGATCACCACGAAGCCTGAGCCTGTCAGCTTCCGTGTATTCTGATGCCACTTTCCTCCTTATTTCTGGAAGAATAGGAGGGTTATTTTCTGGATCGCCACCAACTGAAATCAAGAGTTCAGTTGGTCCTTCAAGCAAGGATTCAAGCATCGCAGCGGAGTTCTCTTTGTGCTCAAGGAAATTAAGGAATCTATTCCTCCACATTTGGTATTCCCCCTTCCTGAGACTAGGAGGGGTACTGTTGTTCCCTTGCGCATTGAATTCTGAGGCCATTGATGTATTAAACTGACCGTTCGAGATAATTGATCAAAAGATTTTCAGAGGCAGAAAGTCGAAAAATCAGATGTCGAGATCTGAATATCGAGATCTTGATATTTCGATAAAGGAGGCCCGGTATCGAGATTTGAGCTCGAGATTGGGATCTCGAGATTAAGGATCTCGAGATTTCAAATATCGAGAAGATGATCTCGAGATTTGAAATGTCGAGAAGTTAAAAAACTCGAAATCTTATTTCGAGATGTCAAATGTCGAGACCAGATGTCGAGACCTTGTTTTCGAAATCTTGATCTCGAAATCCTAGATGTCGAAATCCTCAATGTCGAAATACTGCAAACTGTAAAAATCAGATAAGCAAAATCTGAAGGTAGTTTCCTGTAGAGTAGAATGTCGAGATCCTCAGGTAAATTTTTCAGCTCGAAAAACGTAGCAGAACCTGTGAAGAATCAAGATGTCGACAAGGCCTACTCGAGATATCTCAAGTACAGAATATGCTTAAAACGAAATCTGAAGTATACCCCTTGATCGCTTTGAAAAGACGATTCTAAGGGTGTAACTTTTACAACTTTTGAACAAGAAACAAAATTACAGAGTAAAATATCGACAGTAAGAACAACGTAAAGAAAAACAGAGTCGTCTGCAGGCGTTCTTCTGATCGGCTCTCGATCGGCTCTGATACCAATTGATAGTCCCTGTTTCTGTAACAGCAATGAATAACGATCTAACAGAGAAGATTAAACGTAAGGATGAACACAGATTGAATCGATGTAAAACCCTCTTTGATAGACCGTGAACTCGTACAACAGAAATATATGCGCGTAAGGCTATGAAGAATAAGTACGACGTTAACCTAATCCTAAACCCTCGGCTCCCTTTTTATAGGCGAGGTTTAGGTTAGGCGTACAAGGCTTTTAGCCTAATTATATGGGCCTAACACTTGGCCCAAGTGCTATCTAATTCATGCACTAATTAAATACAAGGATTAATAATAAAGCTAATCTATGACAAACTTGAATCACAATTAAAATATCTCCAACATTATCTTTTTTCCAAAAAACACTTATTCAATTTAATTAATACGGAGTAAACTCAAGGGTTTCTCTAAAAGGCGACCTGTTTCCTAGTTTCTTCTAGGGTTGGATTTTCCATCCGGCGGCATCTGCCCCGTTGCACGGTGTGATTGTGGTGTATTCTACGTATAGTGTAAAGAAATCGGCGAGGCTTTGGTGTGAGTTGGTCACTGATATGGTTTGTTTCAATAGTAAAGTGAATCTCAAAATAGCGTTATGGCTAGGGGTCAGTGCCCTAATGGGGAAGGGTTTGGGTTCATGCGCAACCTTTGGAAGAATTGGAGTTATTCATAGAAGCCCGGTGCTCCATCGTGATTACTTATTTGGATGAACGGATGCTTTGCCCTCCTCCAAAATCAAGCGTTACCAAGAGTGGATCAAGTAACAAGAAGAGGTGGAGAATGCTTCGCTTCTCTCATACTACAGGAGCTCGTCCTCCTCCGGAACCACCTCCATGCGAGGAAAGAATTTGGGGAAAGCTTTTATTTTCGTATTACTTTTTCTTTCATAGTACTTATTTTTATTTCAGATCGAGCAGGTGTGTTTGGAGTATTTTGATTTTTGAAGAACTTTTGATAGGCAGTGCTTCATTTTCGATCGTTTTAAGCTTCTTCTTGCCCGTTTTGTGTCTAGCGAGTCAGGTTGCTTTGTACGGGTGGCTGACTCTAAGTCTATTCCTAGGGCTTACGATGAGATATGTAGTAACTGTCTGGATTTTGTCTTGCATGTTTGCTTTATTTTAATTAAAAGCCATTTTGATGATAAAAAAATACGGAGTAAAATCAAAAATAGAAGAAATAATGGCACAGGTATAACTACCAAACTTTTCATTTCCAAAAATATTACAATTTTGACTTTTTCCAAAAAACTGACCCATCCTTAGTGCTTTTCTCCCAAACCCCTTTTGACGCATCCGGCGCTTCTCCTTCGCAGAATCGCAGCTCTCCTTCGCACCTCTCCTTCGCATCTCTCATTCCTTCTTCGTTGCAAAGGGTACTCCACATCTCTGCTTCTCGAGCTTCCGCGTCGCCCTGTGCATCACATCCCTCGACCGCTCCGTTGAAGCATCGCATGTCCATATCTTCATCCGCACCACCATCACCAGAGCTACAGAAATCGGCCAACCGATCTCACATCGTCGCCTACCTCCACCCCTGAGCCTCTCGTTCCCACGTCTTCATCTCTTTTCTTCTCCTTTCTTTCTCGCAACCTGTAGCTGTCGAAGATTTAGATCTGGACGGTCTTCGTTCGATCTCACCGGCGGCTAGGGTTAATTAGGGGTTGCGGCACAGCTATAGTAGGGAGGCACCATGATTGGGGACATCGACAACAGGTGGGGGACAACGTTGGGATGGTTGTGGGGATTGCGAGGCTAAGAGGGCGGCTGTTAGGTGGCTGGGACATCGTAGGCAAGCTTGAGAGGGAGTTGTGGCTGGGGTTAGGGTGGCGCTAGGGTTGGGGAAGGGGCAGGTGGCGGCGGCGATTTTCTGGATGGGTGGCGGTTACTGGAGGGTGACGACAGTGAAGGAGGTGGTCGCCGGTAGTGTTGGCCGCCGATGGTTATTATGAGATTAGGAGTAGTTGGACTGGGTTTGTAATTGATCAGTGTCAGTGGCCTGCGGGGTGACCTGTGGTGGTGGCGGCATGTTGGAACTAATCTTGTTATTAGTGCTAGATTATTAGATTAGTTATTTGCATGGGTTGGTAATTAATTATGCACGTGTAGTAAGTAGTGGGTGAGTGGGTCTATTAGTGGAGTTAGTGAAGATATTAGTGGTTAATTAGTTAGTGTCTTAGTGGCTTGTTACAAGCAAGGTACGTGGGTGTGTGAGTCCTCTATTTAAAGTTGTAATTAATATGAGAAAATATGAGAAGAGATGCTTTGAGCACCAAGAAAAGGAGCTACGCATGGGTTTTATTCCTAAGCTTTAACAAGTTGCGTTTGGATTTTATCTTCTTCCTTTAGCAAATTCCCAACAGCGGCACAGGGAAAGTAGTGATGGTGGTCGGAGTTGGACGGGCAATCACTGTGACCGGAGTCGCTGTGGTTGGTAGGCGGGCAATCATGATGGCCAGAGTCACTTTGGCCGGAGTCACTTTGACGGGAGTCACTGAGATTAGTGACTGACGGCGGCGGTACCGGTGCCGGTGCCGGTGACGACGGTGCGGCGCCGGGGTCGGCGGTCAGAGAAGTGTTGGTGACTTCAAAGTATGAACTATTCAAAGTATGAACTAATAAATGTGTGATTAAATATAAGGAATAAATGACCTTTAGTCACTTTTTTTGAAAAAAATAAAACATGTCACATTTTTGTCTATTCCATTCATTTTATTAATATTGAAATAAAAAGACCAAAATAGAAGTTATGGAAGGACTTTTAGATTTATGGATGCAACAGGCGGCAATGCGGGATAGCGTTGGGTTGATCAGCTATTGACTTTGTGCCTCCTGTCCCTGTAAAAAAATGTCAGTGTATACACAACACAGGAAAGAACATCCCGCTTCTGCCTAATTCTATGTCAGAAAATGTCCACTCCTCTCTATCTATCGCTTATAAACTCCGTATATTCAAAAAATCAAAACAGACTAATGCATATCACTAACACCGGTTGGGACCGCCGGAGATTTAAAACTTCCCGATGACCCGGCCGGGGATTTAGTAATACGGAGCTTTCATGTGTAAATATATTCCTCTTCTTTAATTTATTTGTTTGATATATACAGTTTTCAACAATTAATGCATTTCACCTTCTTCATTTAGTGCACCCTGGGCTGGTGGATCCTCACCTGATCTCTCTTTGTCTGTCTCTCTCCATATGCATATAAATGTGTCCTTACGGGATAGATAACTGAATATTTATTGCTGGGTATGTACTATACGGTGAAACTGTTCATGAAGATGGAGAAAGCTGATTCCTTTTTCATCGCTTAGGGATACCCACCACATACCTTTATTGTCACTATTTCTTCTTCAATCTACATAACATCTTTCTTCTCTATATTCAATCTCCACTGCATAATCAACGGTACTCTCCAGCTTCCATTCTCTGTGTATGGTCTTAAGGGCTGGGGGTGGGGGTCTTCTGTTTCCTCTGGTATGCCATTGTTGAGAAGTGGAGCATCTTTTCTTGCAAAATACATGAAATAACTGTGCTTTTTTAAACCAAGCATTCCTACAGTTCCTAGTGAGAGATTTCGAGTTCGAACCCCGCTAGGCATATAAGGGTTTGGAACTGAGTTTCACTTACTCAAGACCACTGGCCCCCTCTCCCAGAAGCCAGTAAAAAAACTGCTTTTTTATAAGTAATTGCGTTAAGTATCATTTTTCTGGTAAAACAGATGAATGGTTCATGGGGGAAAGCCCATTTCCTGATTATATCATTACAATTTATTCCAACTTTTATATCCTTGGTGGGGTTTGTAGTTCAAATTTGCCCCATACTTGAAATTCCATGTAAGCTCCTTGGTACCAATAGCGTACACATGTTTGACACCAGAATAAATTTGTATGACGTTTTTGCTTAGATTTGGTTGATTTTATTGGGTTCTTGTTAACTGTTATCCCTAAGAGAAGTGGACTGAGGATTAGACATGGTATTGACAAAACCTTAAAGCAGCCATTTTTTGCCTAAAGAAATGGAAAAGGGGAACCTGTGGAGTGCCATTACCTTAATATAGTTTTGCTTAAACAGGTCAAAAGCACCAATTTCTCTTAGCGTGGAGGGTGTGAGAAAAATAATTCAATGTAAAAGTGAAAGTCCGTGTCAAGCATGTTTTAAATTGGATTGAAATATTCTGATATGATCTGTTTCAACCTGGTCTGATTTGGTAAACGTCTGGTGTACATGTATTTTATTATCTTCTAAGTCTAGCTGGTGCTTTGGTCTGATCTGGTCTGCCAGAACTGAAAACAGCTCAATTAAAAACATCTTTAAAACTTAAAAGGTCATCTCTTAGTTTGATATTTAGCTTCCATTGGAGGTTTGCTTGGACTCAGTTTTGGTGGGAGAAAAATAATTCAATGTAAAAGTGAAAGTCCGTGTCAAGGATGTTTTAAATTGGACTGAAATATTCTGGTATGATCTGTTTCAACCTGGTCTGATTTGGTAAACGTCTGGTGTATATGTATTTTATTATCTTCTAAGTTTAGCTGGTGCTTTGGTCTGATCTGGTCTGCCAGAACTGAAAACAGCTCAATTAAAAACATCCTTAAAACTTAAAAGGTCATCTCTTAGTTTGATATTTAGCTTCCATTGGAGGTTTGCTTGGACTCAGTTTTGGTTTTCTTTTTAATTACTGCTTTTGCATTATTTTTATGGATGTCTATTAATTATAAAGGCAGCATTATTTTTATCTTCTCATAATTATGATCCCTAAATGATGGGAACTTTGCGCTAAATTTATCTAATCAGTAGACACATTTTCACTGTCACTATGTCGAAAGTATGAAACTCCAAGAGGAATGACTGCCCAAATCTCATCTCCTAGTATTTTTGTTTTCCTTTCAATCCCTTTGATTCCTATTATCTTTATATTTGTTTTTAAAAGGTGATTTTTGAACTGGCTTAAATTCAATAGGAATGCCTTTGACAGAGCGGAAGAAGAGACGAGCATGAAAGAAAATCAATGTGAAATTTTATGCATAAATGGTGACAAGGAGACAGATCTATTTAGTGGCATGTTTGGATCAAATGGTATCATACCCGCAGAGTGTGATCATGAAGCTTATGTCACTAATAAAGATAAAGACGGATTCCAAAAGGTTCGAGAACTTGATCGTGATGCGCTACTTCTTGATTGTTCTTTCAAGAGTATCGAAAATAAGCTTCATGTTTTTCCCACAAAGGATGATAAAAAGAGTCAGTTTCATTACATTGCGCTTAAGACAGATGAAGAAGATGCACTTGATAAAAATATGTCTCCTTCAGATGCTACTGACAAAAGTGTTATTGAACATGAGCTGCCTGAATCAATTGTGTGTTGCAAAGATGAAAAGTGTAACCCCATCAGAGATATTTGTGTTGATGAGGGGGCACACACTGTGGATATAGGCGATGACATGTCAGGAAGAGAGCCTTTTGGTGATAAGCTGCTCCTATTGGAACCATCATCAACACAAAATTCACAAAACTCTCTTGTCAGCTTAAACTGTAATGGCAGTACATGTGGAGTGCTGCCTGATCAGGTTTGTTTGTTCTCTGATACTGCTTTATCCAAGTTGGGTCTGTAAAAATGAAAGCTTCTTTATGTTATTTATCTGAAGAATTCCCCTTCAAGTAACTAACTAATTTACAAAAATAATTCATGTCATTTTGCACCAAAGAAGAAAAGTTAATTTCCTGGAAACATAAAAAATGTCTTTTTAAAGGTTACTTTTTGCCTGTATGGCCATTAAAGTCACTGCGAAAACACCCCCATTAAGGTCACTGCCGTGCAAAATTATTAATTGGTCTATCATGGTCACTACAATCGTTGAGAAAATACCATTATGCTCATTGTGTATTAAAAGTCATATTTTGTCTATTACTTTGATGTTAGACATATAGTTGTCATTATATCTTTCTATAACAGTCAGCCAAGCACTATCAAAAGTCAAAACGTTGTTTACAAAAAACTTCGGTTTAAACCAAAAAAGTACAATCAGGAAACATTTCAGACCAAACTCTCTAAAGTAATAAAGTATATAGCCTCGTTTCATCCCATAATATAACTAATAGCTCCAAAAGCATGTGTGTGTGTATAATCTGAAGTAGTGTGGATTATCTTAATCTACAGAAGCCTCCGGAAGACAGAATGTTGCTGGACCATAATGCAATATCAAAAACTGATGAATCTAACAAGAAAGATGTGCCTGAATTCCCTGAAACATGCTTAGTCTACAGCAGCATGGTGGAAAGCAAGGCTACAACTGACAAGGACACTACAAGTGTTGCTGACAGAAACGAAAATGAAAATGGTTGTAGACAACCCCAAGAGTTGCAAGATGATGCAGTTGTTAACAGTGAGGTTAAAGCCAAAGTAAACCATCCAATTAGTTGCCAACAGGATAAATTTGCTGATGGAGGAGAGGCTAGTTTTTCTGGACTGAGTTCTTTGATCACTTCTTCTTACGCGGGCTTGATACCATACTCTGGCAGCATTTCTCTCCGGTCGGATAGCAGTACAACTAGCGCCAGATCCTTTGCCTTCCCAGTGTATGTTTTTGCAAAACTTTTTTCCCTAATCACTCCTTTTCTTTTCTTGTTTGGTCATTTTCTAATAAATCTTCATTCTTTAAACCAAATGTTTTTTGTTGGGGGGATGATGCAGAATACAGTCAGAGTGGAATAGCAGCCCTGAGAAAATGAAAAGATCATATAAGAGATCCTGGAAGCACATGAGTTGCTGGCCGCGTCTTCTTTGCTGTAGATTCTGAATAATGACCATTTCATTTGTCTATATAGGCCTTCTCAACTTAAATTTTATTGTTTTACCCTATCATGATGGTTACTTTTTCAGAGATGTGTTGGCTCTCTTGTAGTTGTATGTATGCTTAGTGCAATAGTGTTGATGTTAGGGTATGAATATAAGGTTTGTTATTTATTTTGTCTTTTTTAATTTTTCTAGAATTAGCTCAGAAATCTTTTTCTGTTGAGAGAGTGATTATTTTATATTTCCTCGTTTCGCATGAAGCTTTGGAGATTTATGTCAATGTTTTTTGCGGTATTTCTATTTTTCATTTGTGCTTTATTCCCACATATACAGATGTATGTGGATTTGTGGTTAGAAGCTAAGTTTTGGTTTTCTGATCTTTAAATTAGCAACCTACTTAATTCTAAGGGAAAAATGTACTCCGTGTAACTTTCTATAACATGTTCGACAAAAAAAAAACATTCTCATGCATTTTTTATGAGAAAACCTGCCAGGCTGCCGTAATAAGGTTGTTTTAGAAGGCATTTGACAACACTGTTTTTCGACTTATCAGCTAACTTTTTCACTAAACACGTAACTTTTGCTTTCGCGCGCTGAATTGTCTATTAAGCAGAAAAAGTAAGGTTGTAGTTACTTTTCTAGCTGTATTGGCTAAAGTTATTGTAGATATCATTTTAGCTATTTTTATATACTAGTATAATTTTTTCTTTATTTTATTAATAAAATATATTTTAAAATTAATTTTTTCTTAAATCAGCAGAATCAGCGAATGCAGCCATTTCAGTCGGAACTTCATAAATTTCAGCAGAATCAGCTAAATTAGCTAAATCAGCCGATTTTCGTGCTACCAAACGAGCCCTCCAAAAGTGTACATATTAAAATGCTGAACTTTTCACAAAAAATGCTCTCCACACACCGGTGCAGTCCTTAATCATTACAAAGGAAACAATTAGAAGAAATTAGTTTCTAGTTGTCATGCACTCATGCGTTTTTCTTGACTTTGGTTTTTCAGAATCGTTTAATAATCATGAAGTTCGCGAAATTGACTAAATTGGTGAAAATGTTACTGAATAGACTCAATACGCTAAGTTATTAAAAATGTATACATTAATATAATGAATCAATAAAATCATGGAAGAATTACACTGCGTATGATAAATAGCTAAACTACTCACTTCACCAGTTTAGCCAATTCAGTTAGAAAAGTAATTTCAACTTAATTTATTTTGATTATTACAAAATTCAATGTGTTAAATCTAAAGTTACATACGAGTATTAAATAAAACAGTTAGCTGATGAGACCGATAAACTGTAAAAATGTGTTATCAAAATGGCTTTCGAAGTTCTATTTCAGGCATCACTTTGAGCTTCGTCCACGTATAAATGGACATTTGAGAGATATGTAATACTACCTCCATTCCACTAAGTTGTGGTACTATTTAGATATGATATTGTATGCTATTAAAAATATATTTATATCAATATTTTTATATTACATGGTACAGATAGTGGATGAAAATTCATGTTTTTTTTGCCAAGATGAAAATTCATGTTCAACATGTGTGCTTTCTGCACACCGGTTCGTATACCGTGGGATGATCACACGGTGAGCACCATGCTCCCCACCCAAAACGATGCAGTTTTGTTCTCTTAAAAAAATTATGTGTGAACAGTATACGCGTGTACAATAACTTCTTTTTTTGTTCCAGTAGCATTAATGATGTAACTCGCGTGTAAAGAAATGTAACTCACGTTATTGATCAATGTAACTCAAGTGCAGTCGAATGTAACTTTTCAAATACATAATATAAGAAATAAAACATTGATTTCAATGTAAACAATGAAAAAAGAGAGTCTTATTGCACAATTACTTTACGTAAATCATGAATATGTTTTATTTTTAATATCATGACCATAAAAATGATTTTAAAAAATCTTTTTTTGTTTTAATAGTAGGGGTTGAAACAATGTCACATTCAAAAGATGAGTGTGGCAGAGATGCGCATGCTGCGTTGGATGTGTGGGCATACTAGGAAGGACCGCGTGAGGAATGAGACAATCAGACAAAGGGTGGGAGTAGCACCTATTGAAGACAAGATGCGGGAGTCGCGCTTACGGTGGTTTGGTCATGTGCATAGAAGACCGAGTGATGCACCTGTTAGGCGAGTTGAGATGTGTGGAGAAGAGGCAGGGAAGAGAGGGAGAGGAAGACCCAAACAGACGTGGGTTAGGGGAGTTCGAAGTGATATGCTTCTTCTGGGGTTGGATGAGGGCATGACTTTGGAGAGAACTAAGTGGAGGGCGGCGGGTATTCACGTGAAGGAGTGATCTTGATAATCTTTTTCCCTCATCTTTTTTTTTCCTAGTTTTTTTATCCTTATATATATATATGCATTATTTGTAGCCTTTTTATTTTATCACTTTTATATATATTCATCTTTTTTATATTATCTTTTCATAATAGCTTATCTTTTTATCTTTTTTCCTTCTTTTCCTTTTGGTTGTGATATCATGTATCGATTCATGTTAGCCGACCCCAATATCTTTTGGGACTAAGGCTTGGATGTTGTTTGTTTGTTTGTTTTAATAGTAGGGGTTGATTTTTTGGTGTTACTCATGTTATTACATATGAAACTCGCGTATTAAAAGATGTAACTCATTTATAAAAAGATGTAACTCAATGTATTATCAAATGTAACTGATGATATAAGATTACACAGAGTATGTTTTAACTTTAATTATACTCCCTCTGTCCCGAAAAGGTTGGCCAAAGTTGACTTTCACGTGGATTAATAAAGTAAAAACTGTGTGATTGAAATTTGTGCAGAGGGGAGAGAATTAATTTTAGCCGCACATTTCTTACTTTAAATGAAAATGGCAAATCTTTGTGGGACATCCCAAAAAGGAAATTTGGTCAATCTTTTTGGGACGAAGGGTTTGATATACAAAAACAGAACTTGAAATTAGAACATGCATTTGCATCTTCCACTGATCCACTCCCAAACAGATTCAATCTTCTACGAAGTATTTCACAGACCTCTCATCTCCCTACAATTCATATCTTTCTCAAAAGTGGAAATTGGGTTAGGGAACTCCTGACGGTTTGAACAAGCAACTCCCTGGAGATGGTAAAAATGAAGACAAGAAGGATAAGAAGTTTAGCCGGCAGCGCCGCCTGAATGGGATGATCGGAAGCAGCGGAAACGGAAGGGGCTGGAAGCTGCCGCTTGGCTTCCCACGGTTACTCTGCTTTGCAAATGCAAACTAACTTTCCCTTTATGTGGTCATATTTAGGTGGAAATTGGACCACATAACTTCAATGTTTATTTGTGTGCTAAGGAGGTTTGGGTGGATGGAGGAAGAATTCGTAGATCAACAGGAAGTGGAACTTAATGGGAAATAAAAAACGACGCTCCGCTCTTTTTCTTTACCGTAAACGATACCGTATGGGGATCGGCACACCATGCACATGATGGGCCGATCCCACGGTATAATTTGCGTCACGATACACTCATCTTCAGATTTTTCATCAACAATGCATAATTGCGGGATCAATATAAGTTTTTGACCTTTTGTTTATGGTAAGTTTTTTGGCTTAATTTGTATTCCCAATTTAGCACTTCACTCTAAAAGCCACTCTAATGGTGACCTAATATCCATCCTTTATAACTGGTAATAAACATAAAAACAAGTATGAGCGGACAATCTTTTTGCCATTATGTATGCAAGAACACAGTATCATGAAAAGTTTTACCATTGTGCATTCAAATACTTGCAAAAGATAACTTCATAAACAATTTCACTTATACTTGATAATTGTACTTTCTACTTGACAGTAAAAATGTTTTACAATTCGAGTGCACAATATAAGCCGTTCAGTATATAAATATACATAATTCTAATATAATGCATCCATCATTACCAGTTTACCACAATATTAGACATTTGAGGGTGCATGTAGCGAAATCAAGTTAAAAAATACTTCCTCCGCTTTCTGTTCTTTAATAGTTGAACACTGTTTTTTGCATTATATACACATCTTATTTTGTCCGCATTTTTCTACTAATATTCACAATCAAATTATTACGTATAAAATGTTACTCCCTCCATCTCATTAGGAGGTTCCAAACTTCCAATTACGATTTACGATGCTTGACTGACGATAAAGTAATTTAATCCCTGCTCAGACTCTGATTATTTTTAGTAAATAAAATTTACATATTCAGAAACTGCATTAAAACCGCTACAAAGCCTGATAAAAAATGTGAATTTGATAAAAATTTGATATATAAAGTAAAAGATTAAGAATTATTTAAATTAACCATGTGAATAGTGAACGGAAATCTTTGAATGGGATGAAGGGAGTATTAAATTTCTATTAGTGTGTATTTTCAAAATATTAACTTTTTGTAATGTTTACTAATACGTAATTAAATATAATTTTCATCACAGTTGTGTGTTAACAAACGTGAAAGTTGGTAATGTTTACAAACGTGAAAGTTTGCAACTACTAGAGAGTTGAGGATAGTAAATGTTGGACACTTGGAGTCTTGGACTAGGAGGTGGAAATAGGCGTACTACAATTATGAAGCAGTTAAACACTTAAACTCTTATAAAACCAAAAGGTCAACTAACCATTCAACAAACACATGCATAATGCATTCCACCACGACAATTAGTTAGTGTCCCATTGTCCAATAATCCAATAAAGTTGCTACCTCCATCCCAAAAAACTGTCATTTCATAAAATTTGAACGATGATTTTGATTAGTATAATAATTTGATAGTTATATATTTTATACTCTTATTAAATTACTTTTAACAAAGAACATTTTCATATGATTTTTATATTATAAATAATTTCCAATAAAAAGATATAGAGCCCGTTTGGTAGCACGAAAATCGACTGATTTGGCTGAAATTTATGAAGTTATAGTTGAAGTGGCTGATCCTGCTGATATAAGAAAAAATTATTTTTAAAATATATTTAATTAATAAAATAAAGAAAAAATTATATGTAAAAAAAACTAAAATGGTCATCTACAACAATTTCAGCCAATACAATCAGAAAAGTAACTCCAACCTTATTTTTTCTGCTTATTACACAATTCAGCGCGCGAAAGCAAAAGTTACGTGTTTGATGAAAAAGTTGGTTGATAAGCCTAATAAGCCGAAAACCGGTGTTGCCAAACGGTCTCATAGTTGGTCAATGATTTGAAATGACAAAGTTTTTTGGGACGAAGGTAGTATACTCTAATCGACACTAACGTACATATTACACTTGAACTTATGTACCCAGTTCATATTACACCCACAAAACACCAAAATAGGAATTATATTTTCTGCGTTGCTGCAAAAATGCCAAATTCAGTACACGATATGCATATCTCCAATTATACATGTAAAATCTTGCAAAAATGACTAAATTAAACCAAACAAACATGAATTAATGACATGTACTACTTCAATAACATTCACTTCAAACATTGAGTTTTCCTCACTTCGGAAAATGAAATATGCATTTTCCCTGATGATACAAATTTCTTGCACCATATATATTTACAAACGAATCCAAGAAATTACCTTTGGAATTGGGATAATCACTACCCATAGAAGGCTTCTCTCCTTTTTCTGTATCAACTTGCATGATAACTGTTTGTTATTTTAAATATCTTTAGTTGTCAGCGAATTGCATTTCGTCCTCCTAAGTCCTAGCACATCATGTCAGTATAGTTACTTGCCTTCATGTTTCTTCTCTACGCATGAACTAAATTTGGGGGATTTGTTGCTGGATCAACATTAGCAACCTGCCATGACTGCCAACGCAGCAGTTTAATTCATGGTTTTGGCCCGTCTTTGTAACGTGTATATTCTAAAACACACAGTGGTATTACGAATAATACACTCTATACTAGGGAAATGGGGGAGAAAAAATGAAGAGATAGTAATTGGTTACTTGAGAGCATTAAGTTTTTGATTCATTGAACATGATCACAATGAGCTCCCTCGCCAACCGAAACTTAAAATAATGGAGTGAAAAAAATAGAAGGCATTACAACAATGGGCATGAACAACAACTACCATATGCACAATCTTGAAATAAATCAGGGGGATATTGATTGTGCTATACCTAAATCCTCAGCCTTTTCTGAGCTTGATCCATATCTCCATCGGTGTTCGGTTCACGAAAATAACCCACTACTTGACTTGAAGATGGTGCAGCAGGTTTCTTATTGTTAATATCCTGTAATATAAGTTCTATAGACAATTTAGGAGAAGAAAGAAAGTGCATGTCTCATCAAGCATAGATGGCATGTTTTACTTCCCTCCCCAACAACAACATCCAAGCCAGGCAAGCCTTAGTCACAAAAGAGTTTGGGGTTGCCTTACTTCCCCTTCCAGCGCCTCATTTTTATCATGGAATTTCATATGAAGATACTTAGAATAAAAGACATACTATATATACTATACATACCCTGGCACCCACTACTGCTGTACTTAATCCCCTATTTGCACGTTTTCCAAGATCTATCTGTACAGAGATGGTGGCATGCGATAGGTCTACACCAGTGCTTTGCAACGCTTGTCCTAAAGAATTTAGTAGTCTGAAGGAAAAAATGATATGTCTCAGTAATAAGTACTAAAAGGGGCATAAATCAGAGGAGTTGAATATAAAACTAAAGTGTGGCTAGTAAATGTTTAAATAGTACTCCCTCCGGTCCTAAATAAACTTCACACTTTGACTTCACACAAATTAAGGAAATATATTTGACTTTACTGTAGAGTACACTGTTGTGACACTGTTGTGACACTGTTTGACACTGTTTGACACTGTTTGACACTGTTTTGCAGTATATAATTTGCCAAATAAGGAAGGGAGAAGAAGTGTGAAGTTTATTTTGGACCTACCCAAAATGGAAAGTGTGAAGTTTATTTAGGACCGGAGGGAGTATATACATTAATTACTTACCCTTGGGAGTAAACACCTGAAAAGTTTATTGTTCCACCCTCTATAGCTGGCAGCTCCGCCTGTTGACTAAGAGCATCTTCCATTCTGTTGGGGAGGCATTCAGTTGATTGGGCATCAGAAGCTGGCAGACTTGCCAGCAGATGCTTAGTAGCAAGCTCATTATGTTGTACACCATTGAAGGTGGCAGAAGACGATTCAACTCGATTCTGCTGAATTGTTGGTTGCAAAGCTGTTGAAGGGGCTGCCATAGCATTCTCTTCAAACCTCTCAGCATATGCCGGACCATTCTTTACAGCTTGTGGAGGGGATTCAGAAAAACTCTGCAATCGCCAATGACTGTTTCTCTGAGCCCATATAAAAAAATAAATTAACAGAATGCTTCTTGATAAGAAAACCAAATAATCATTAATAGAAAAATATGAATGATAGAACAAGGAATGTACAATGACAACCAGACAGCCTTCAAAATACTATGAGCAACAGTTTCTGATGCATCTAAAATATTTAGGGAAGTGTTCAATGAAAGTTGTGGACATTTTTAAGGGAAAACTGTCAAATAAGTCCATCTACTTTTACTAAAAAGTCAATTGAGTCCACGTATTTTTTGATGAGTCAATTAAGTCCGTGTAGTAAAAATTAACCAAATTGTTCATTTAACCGGTAATCACTCGGTTTTCCAGTCAGATAGTCCAGCTGGTTTTTTTATTGTTTTCCAATTTTTTATATTTTCTTTTCCTTTTTCTTTCTTTTTTTCATCCCTTTTTGTCTTTCTTTTTTCTTCCATTCTCAACTCCTAATTTCCCAGTCTTTCTCCGCTTCCATTCCTTGCCTTCTTGTTTCAGGCCCCACAGCCACCTGCAGTCCCTTTCTACCATTTCCCCATTTCTGCCGCCCCTCCTCCGATTCTCCAAACCACCACCGCGACCTCCGCCTCCTAGTGAATGACCTCCGCCGCCCCGTCCTCCATAGCCGCCACCACGTACCGCTTGCGGCCTCCACCTACGCCCCCTCCATTGAAGCGACCTCCAATCGCCACGGCCTTCGTAGCCACCTCCTCCGCACGTGATCTCCATCTCCGATTCTCCGCCTCCAACAACCACCTTCACTTCTGATCCACCTTCGCCTCACCCATTGCAGCAACCTCTAACTGCCACGACAATCACCTCCGCGGCTTCCATCTCCGTCTCCGCCATTGGAGCGACCTGCAACCACCCCGACCTCCATGGCCACCACCTCCGCAACCTCTCCTCCACCCCTACCTCCGTAGCTTCCCCCTCCGCCACTCCTACCTCCATAGCCGCCACCGCCCCAGCCTCCATAGACTGGTGGATCCACCTAGGGGAGAAGATTGAATGACTAAGTAAGCCATGATCCTGGACTGCTAAAGTTGGAGTAGACGCAGCGAACCAAGGAAAGAAAAATATAGAGGAAATAGAAAAATGAATTGAAAGAAAAATTATAAAAGTGGAAAATATTAATAAAAAAAGGCAGCTGGACGATTTAACCGGAAAACTGAGTGATTACCAGTCAAATGGACGATTTGGTTAATTTTTGACACTTCGCGGACTTAATTGATTCATTAAAAAGTATGTGGACTCAATTGACTTTTTAGTAAAAGTAGATGGACTTATTTGATAGTTTTCCCTATTTTTAATGGTTTCATGGACAGGTATACTAAGCTACATTTGGCGAAAACAAACCAATAAGTAAATTAGAAGTGACGGCTTGTAGCTGAAAAAATGTAACTGATCTTGAAATTAGTGTTTGGCACAAGTAGTTGATAAGCTAGCTTCAGATTACAAAATGACAGAAAAGAGCATGTATAAAAAGTTGTTTTAAAAAAAGTTCAAGAATGGGACTACATAAGAGAAAGAATCATTCAGCACTATATGAACGATACTAAAACAACACTTGAAATAAATCATGCTTCTAAAAGAAAGTTCCAAACAGAGATTATTTGAAAAGCTTCATCCAAAAAAACAGCAAAGAAGTAAAAACTGGTGTTTTCAATCCCGGACAACGGAGCATAGCGGTCAACCCCGAAAACGCTATAGTAGTATAGCGGATAGCGGGATGATCTCTGTTTAAACAATATATATGCAAAAATACATATTATATGTATGCATATAATTACATGTCATGCACATATCAAATCCAAAAGATGATAAATAAAAAATGTATTAATCAAAATCTCAAACGTCATCAAATTTATACTTACTAACTTACCAATAAAAAGGCATTAGTGTCTTAAACAAAAGAAAGAAGTAATTTAAGTAACTTACTGTTACGGACCAATATTATGGTCGTACATATGAACGCAGAAAGCAGTGTGGGGCAGAGAAGATTAATGACCAACGTGGCTAAGAGAAAAGAAATAATAAGGCAGTTAGAGTCATATTAGTATTAGTATTTAATTAGTCCTACTTTAATTAGTATTCCTTTATTTAAGTTTTATTAGAATTGCAACTTAGTTTCCTATTTGTTTTAGGAAACCCTTTATCTATTTAAGGGGATCCCAGCTACTTTAATAAACAGCTTTTTGGTTAATTAATCTTGAGATCTCTTGACTAGGTCGGAGATCGATAATTATCTATTAAGCCACTATTTTCAGTTCATCTATTCCTCGTCAATTAAAAATAGCTCCCGGAACATCATCCCTTACCTGTGGTCAATCCCGTTCACGTCCTTGGACGAGGTCTCTAACTCACGCCCTTAACAACTTGGTATCAGATTCTGGGACGATGGGGACCGAGACTCCTACTGCGGATTCACTAAAAACCATGATTGAGAGTATCGATCACCGGCAACTGGCGGTGGAACACACCTTGGCAGATCTGCAGACCGCTATGGCGCAACTGGCCACCCTTCCGGCCGCCATGGAGACACTCGCTTCAACGGTGCAGAAATTAACAGATGATTCCTCATCCAGCTCCTCCCAGTTCGACCGCAGGAGAGAGGCAGACCATTCGCGCCGTGATACTGAAGATTCTTTAGTTCCCAGGTTCTCGAAAATTGAATTTCCACAGTACGATGGGAAAAGCGATCCCCTCTCCTGGTTAAAACGCTGTGAGAGTTTTTTTATTCAGCAACGCACACCTGCTCCAGCTAGGGTGGGTTTGGCGACTTTCCACATGATCGGGACCGCACAACTATGGGCTAATCAGTTGGATACTGGAACTTCCATTATCTCTTGGACTGAATTCTACGGTCGCTGTACTAAACGTTTTGGGCCGCCGAGTAGCACAAATCCGGAAGGCGATCTAGCCAAACTACGCCAGACCGGCGATCTCGAGAATTATATTGAAACATTCCAACAGATGTTGGCTCGAACTGTGGGAATTTCTGCCCGTATGCAGGTAAAAATATTCACCGCTGGGCTGCGCGAGGTTGTACGCATGGAGGTTGAATACCAGGATCCTATTGACTTGGATTCTGCTATGATGTTGTCCAGGGCTGTTGAGCGCAAGTACAGTATAGGCCATTCTTCGCATGCACTTCCAATACGTCCCCAATCAGTTGCCCGTTCAGAATCAGTACTTGCTCCTGCAGATTTGAATTTACCACGGCGCACCTCCAATCCACACTTCAAAAAGATTTCTCGAGCAGAAGCTGCTGTTCGCCGGGAAAAGGGCCTTTGTTATAACTGTGACGATCCTTGGGTTCGTGGCCATCAATGCAAAAAATTATTTTTTATTGACATTATAGAAGATGACCAGTCCGAAGAGCAGTTTGAACCAGCCCTCTCTCTTCATGCTATGACTGGAATCGGCTCCACTTCTACAATGCAATTAGCCGCCACCCTTAATAATATGCCCATCACTGTTCTGGTGGACTCAGGCAGTACCCATAATTTTCTCCATCAAAGACTAGTTCCTGCCAGTAACCATTCCCTGCACCAGAAATCTTATTTGCATGTTCTAGTAGCTAATGGAGATCGGGTACCTATTTTGGGCACTTGTCCTCGGCTTGACTTCTTAGTGGACGGACACACATTTACAGCCGACTTTTATGTGCTTCCACTGGCCGGGTTTGACATGATCTTGGGCGTTCAGTGGCTTCGCAATCTTGGCACCATTGAATGGGATTTTTCACGCCTTTTCATGCGATTCAGATGGCAGAACACTTCTGTGGAATGGCATGGCCATGCTGGCGCACCTCCACTTCAGGCCCACATGATTACCACATCATCTTCCAAGTTCGAAAATCTCCTGGACCAGTTTGAAGACATCTTCCGCTTGCCATCTGGTCTGCCGCCTACACGAGCTTGTGATCACAAAATCACATTATTTCCAGGAACTAGTCCGGTGGTCGTTCGACCATACCGTTACCCCTATTTCCAGAAAGACGAGATTGAGCGGCAGTGTTCTGAGATGCTCCAGCAAGGTATCATCCGCCCAAGCAGATCTCCCTTTTCATCACCTGTCCTTCTAGTTAAAAAAGCTGAGGGCACATGGAGGTTTTGTGTTGACTATAGAGAACTCAATGCCCGCACCGTTAAGGACAAATTTCCAATTCCTGTCATCGATGAGTTGTTGGACGAACTTCATGGATCCAAATTTTTCACAAAACTTGACTTGCGCTCAGGATATCATCAGATCCGCATGGCAGAAGAAGATATCGAAAAGACAGCTTTTCGAACTCATCACGGCCACTTTGAATTCTTAGTCATGCCATTTGGGCTCACCAATGCACCATCCACGTTTCAAAGCTTAATGAATGCCATCTTTGCACCATACCTTCGTAAGTTTGTCCTCGTCTTCTTCGATGACATACTCATTTATAGCAAATCTTGGGTAGAACATGTTTATCATGTCCACCTTGTCCTGGAAACCTTGCGCACCCATGGCCTTGCTTTAAAAAAATCCAAATGCAGTTTTGGCGCACCGCAGGTACAATATCTCGGCCATATTATTCATAGCCAAGGCGTTGAGGCTGATCCAGCCAAAATCCAGGCCATCACGGGGTGGCCAACACCCTGATCAGTTACAGCTTTACGCGGTTTTTTGGGCCTGGCAGGTTATTACCGCAAATTTATTCACCATTATGGTGAGATTGCTGGTCCACTCACACAATTGCTGAAGAAGAGTGCCTTTTCCTGGACAAATGCAGCCGAAGAAGCATTCCACGAGCTCAAACTGCGCCTTTCATCAGCCCCAGTTCTCCAATTACCTAATTTCGACAAAGAATTTATTGTTGAATGTGATGCATCAGGATCTGGTTTTGGGGCAGTCTTACAACAGGAAAGCCATCCCATCGCATATTTTAGTCGCAAGATTGCTGCACGTCATGTTAAGCTCGCAGCTTATGAACGGGAACTGATAGGGTTAGCCAAAGCAGTCACACATTGGCGACCCTATTTATGGGGATCTGAATTTCTTATTCGAACTGATCATTCCAGCTTGAAACATTTACTGGATCAACGACTAACTACGTCCCCGCAGCAACATTGGCTCAGTAAATTGATGGGCTTTAACTTCCGAGTAGAATACAAACCGGGACGCTTCAACACTGTCGCGGATGCCTTGTCTCGACAACATGAAGAGGTTATGAACCTCGCAGCACTCACAGTTCCTTTCAATACTCTCCTCAGTGAAGTCCGGTCTGAACAAGCGGTTTCCCCGATTATGAATAATATCCGTCAGGAAATCCAGGAGGGAAAGCGCGGGCCAGATTGGGAAATACGAGATGGCTTAATTTATTACCGCTTCAAACTTTATCTGTTAGATACATTTGAAGTGGTTCAGACTTTGCTCTCGGTATTTCATAACATGGCTCATGAAGGTGTTGAAAAAACTCTTCAACGACTACGACGGGAGTTTTATTGGACCGGCATGAAAACTACAGTGGCCAACTTTGTTCGGGACTGTCAGACATGTCAGAAGCACAAGTGGTTAACATTGCAACCAGCTGGCTTATTGCAACCTCTTCCCATTCCACATCACATTTGGGCAGATATATCAATGGATTTTGTTGAAGGCTTACCCAAGGTTCGAAACAAATCTGTCATCCTGGTTGTCGTTGACAGACTCTCTAAAGCTGCCCATTTCATTCCTTTAGCTCACCCATATACGGCAGTTTCCGTAGCCGGCATATTCTTTTCTGAAATATTTCGTCTTCATGGGCTACCGGAATCCATTGTCTCTGATCGTGACAAAATCTTTTTGAGCACTTTCTGGCGCGAGTTATTCCGCCTATCTGGTACCAAACTCGTTTACTCCTCCGCTTACCACCCGCAAACCGATGGTCAAACGGAAGTCGTTAACCGAACTATCGGGTTGTTTTTACGTTGTATCACGAGCGATTATCCCAAGGAATGGGTTCGTTGGCTTCCTTGGATTGAGTATTGTTACAATACGTCCTACCATTCATCTCTGGGCGACACACCATTTCGCATGGTTTATGGTAGGGAACCACCCCGTATGCTCTCCTATATGCCTGGGACAGCCAAGGTGGATGGGGTGGATCGAGAGCTCATGGATCGTGACGATCTTCTCAAACGTGCTCGTGACAGATTAGCTCATGCACAACAGCGGATGAAAAGTCAGTTTGACAAAGGCCACCGTGAGCTCTCGTTTGAACCAGGTGCTTGGGTCTGGCTCCGTTTGCAACCATATCGCCAGCTAACAGTGGGCAGGGGAAATTCCAAACTGTTGCAAAAATATTTTGGCCCATTTCAGGTTCTTGAGCGCATTGGCCAAACTGCTTACAAGCTCCAATTACCAGCAACTGCTCGTATTCATAATGTTTTCCATGTCTCCCTTCTCAAGCTACACCAAGGACCTCCTCCAGAAGCAATGGGCAGTCTTCCTCCCGAACCTTACACTCTGGGAACCACAACTCCCCAGGCAATTCTTCGCAGCCGCTTCTTGAATGGCAGCTGGGAGCTTTTAGTTCAGTGGCAGGAGCAGCAAGTAGATGAGGCCACATGGGAACCACTAGATTCCTTCCAAAAGAGATATCCTGCTTTCAAGCTTGAGGACAAGCTCCTTGTCCAAGGGGGGAGTAATGTTACGGACCAATATTATGGTCGTACATATGAACGCAGAAAGCAGTGTGGGGCAGAGAAGATTAATGACCAACGTGGCTAAGAGAAAAGAAATAATAAGGCAGTTAGAGTCATATTAGTATTAGTATTTAATTAGTCCTACTTTAATTAGTATTCCTTTATTTAAGTTTTATTAGAATTGCAACTTAGTTTCCTATTTGTTTTAGGAAACCCTTTATCTATTTAAGGGGATCCCAGCTACTTTAATAAACAGCTTTTTGGTTAATTAATCTTGAGATCTCTTGACTAGGTCGGAGATCGATAATTATCTATTAAGCCACTATTTTCAGTTCATCTATTCCTCGTCAATTAAAAATAGCTCCCGGAACATCATCCCTTACCTGTGGTCAATCCCGTTCACGTCCTTGGACGAGGTCTCTAACTCACGCCCTTAACACTTACCTCTAAACATTAAAAATTAATAATTAAGCTCCTGATAATTCTTGATATATTAAAAGTCGTCAATATCTCATTATAAGAAAATCATGGTTGTTCGGATGCCTTGAACTACCTTAACATTGAAATGTACGGTGTAGGTTATGTTTGATCTTGGTTTCTATTTTGAGTTATTTCAGAAGAGATTAGTAGGGTTATTTTGTCCCCCACGTGTTCTGGAGGGTGTATTGAGGTTATTTTTTACTCTTTTAGCCCAAAAAAATTTAAAAGTAAAAAATACTCCCGAATTCCCTCAAAACTAGCACTGAAGTAGCCCCTTAAATTATAGTGGTTCTATAGCGCCCTCTACAGCCGCTATTCTTCCCGCTATAGCACCCGCTGCCCGCTACTGGCACTATTGCCAACCGCTCCGCTATAGGCAGTCTGATAGCGCCTAGCCCCCGCTCTCTCCGCTATTATGCTATAGCCCGCTATTGACATCACTGGTAAAAACGAGCTTATAAACTCTTGCAGGTCAAGAAGGACTGAAGGAGAAACAGCACTTTATACGGATAATCAGAACATTAAGAGTTACAACATCTCAGCAGTTTAAAGTCTACATTCTCAACCAAGTACCAACATTACCATCATATGATGTGCCTCTCTATTTGCTGTAAGCAAACTCACTCAAAATACAAGTGCATACCCATGCAACCTTATAATAGTTACATAAATCTGTGTTGATTATGGATGGGGCTTGTCCTCTTTTATTGCAGGGGAGGGCTGAGGGGGGTATGGCTCTTTGCTTCTTCAGTATTTCCTCAAAGGCCTCATTTGGCATAAAAAATCTTATTCTGTATATTTTCATTTGTCAGGCAACTTGATCACAGTAATGTGTGGACAAACCTCTACCCTATGCTGAATAATCTCAAAAGGAATTAATAATAAAAACCAAACTAACATCATCCCATTAAGTGGGGTAGGCAATCAAATGGTATTAATAAGGGCACAATTAATGAAACATCAGACATTTTGCAGCAGGCAGACACAGGCAACAAACACACGAGAGAAAAATGACAGCCACCTAATGAGGTCAAGCTGTAATATAAAAAAACTTCAAAAAGAATAGGATGCTGACCCAAGGCATTAGTTTTGTTGGCTCAGAACTCCACGCTTGATATGATCCTTCATACTTTTGTACCTTCTCCTGTAAATACTGTACATACTGAATCACCTGCGTAAAGAGATGAAGAACAGCACAATCTCAATGCAAGGTTGGATAAAAAAAATGTATTGGGTATTGATTTTATGATTTAATCAACTCTGGTAGTACACCTCAAACAGAAACGATGCAGTGTCTCGCTTTTGATCGGTGTTAGGTATCAGGTCTCTTAATATCTGAAATCTAGATTGAACAAAAAAATCAGCATTTCCAGGAGCTTGAAGAAAATTATGCTTCAATCTTCATATAATTATCCTAATAAATTCTGCACATAAAACGGTATTGAATGCATCGGTTAAATGACAGAAGCAAAATAATTTTTGTCCCATTTCTTTTCCTATTTCTGTTGTTGTTGTTCCTTTCCTATTTTTTTTTTTCTGAGTGATGAGAGATGCGCTTGAACAATAACAAGATCTTACACAAAGGCATAACCAAGTCTAAAATCAATATCAAATCAAATACTACGTATCAAATAATAATAACAATAATAATTACAGAAAATAACTAACACTGTAGCAACAGCTTTCTTAGTTCTTATGCCATGTAAGCACCCCTAGAAACAACGGAACTCATTTCCTTGATCAAACTCATTAGAGTATAAGAAACTTATCAATATCTGTTGGACTCAAAGACAGTTTGAGTGTATAACCATGTCCACTTTCAATTTGAAACAATACTAACAGATAATCGTTATCAAAATACCAATATAGGTTAAATGGTAATAGTGGAAACCTGGCGTTATGCAATTGCAAGTTAGCACAAACCAAATGTTTGCATGGTTAGCAAACAGTGTCTGTCTACGGTCTACCTCCCATATGTTCACAACACAGTTGTGAGTTGTGACTGTTCAGTTTTACATAGCATAATTTGAGAATACATGTAAGCTATTGCCTCCATCTCCAATAAGTTAATTTCATGGATGGTACTATATAGAGCATCCATGCTCAGTCCTCATAGGAAGACAAATATCCCCAAAATTAATCTACTTTGATATAACATTCAAATCATACATTTAAATATGTTTTGCAATCACTCATTGATATCAATAACAAAACTAAGAATATTCAGTACCTCTCATTGATCTTACTCCTCCTACGCTGCTCCGTTACGGAATGTTTAGACCTTATTACATTGGCCTTGTCATTATTCTTTCCATCTATTCCACAAAGAGAAACACCTTGCGATCTCAATACAATGAAGACAAATTCATGATTTCACAGTTTTAGTAAGAATAAATACCAATGGTTTAAATCAGAACAATTTCCTATAATCACAACGTACCCCTGGGTGTACTACTATGGGAATTCGAAGCTATTTTCTTCGACCCTAACTCATCCTCCTCTTCCTCTTCATGATGACCCTTCACAGTTTTCATGGTATGTTCCCAATAATTTGATATGGCCTGCATAAGATAAATGAATCAAAGAGGCATACAAGATTTAATAAGTAAAAAAAATGAACATTATATTGTAATTGAGATCTATTGAACAAATTAAAGTCCCGTAGAATTGGAAAACCAAGAAAAAAAGTTGCGGATTCCCGGAAAGAATCGAGCTTTTACGGAACTGATCTTACCGGTTCCCGCTTTCGAGGTTCGGAGTCGCCGGTGAGTATGAGGTCACAGTAAGGATATCTGCTTCCCCCGGTAATTTCTGTTTGGTAGGGAAAAACAGAAAAGGTATGTTGCTTTAAATGTTGTACCTTGCGTATTATTGCGTATTTTTTTTAATTGCATCGAGGAATGTTGGATTATACTCCGTACTTCGTATCATGTATGGATCTATACATTTGAACTTAAAATAATTGACCTATTCAATTTATGGGCCAACAAATCCAACTTAAATAGGTCAGACCTAAATATATCAAAAATATCATAGGTGCCCCAAAATGGGGTACCTCATTTTTATTTACCCTTCTATTGTGTGACTCAAATGAGTCAACTCATTGAAGTGGAGCAATTCATTCAAATGGTGTCCTCATTTGAACCACACAATGTGAGGGGTAAAAATGGGGTACCCTATTTTGGAGTACACCAAACACAACTCTAAATATATCATACGACAAGATCAGACTTTGTCACGTAAAATACACAGATACCGGACATTTATCCAATCAGACTAGACCACACTTAAACAGATCGTTCAAATCAGACCGAACTTAAACAGACCACAACAGATTAGTTTTTTTTTTTTTTGCGATGAGACCACAACAGATTAGTTAATTCAAGATTTCAAGTCCAATTAAAAACATCATATTTCTCAATCATTTGAACTGTTTTCAATCATCTTATTTACATAAATTTCATGAGGCAGTTGGTTGTTTTTTGAAAGAATGAGGCAGTTGGTTAAATAACAATAAAGTTCACAAAAATATTTTCCCCTTTTCAATTATTCTTGCACATTAGATTCTGAGCAAAGTTTTAGAAATGTGAGATACCTCATGTGGAAAGATTGATAAAGTATAAAAAGTATGAAAGAAGAAAAAATAATGATGAGAATTAATGTAAAATAAAAATGAATATTCTGAGAAAATGATAAAATAACATATAAAACTAAGAGAAAATTAACCCACATATGACTAAAATTTAATGTGTTTCCCAAAATATGACTTCTATCTTTTTTCTTCCCAATATGATAGTGTTTCGTATGTATAAAACTAATATTTAATCATATTTTGGGATGTACAAAAGTAGTAGTCATATATTCTGAAATTGTCAATGTTTTAGTCATATATTAGTAACATTTGTGATTTTACCGAATCATAGAGATGGTATTAGAGGAATGGATTTCGCCTTTCCTTTGAGAAAGTTTGTTACGAGGTTCGAATTCTATGAAAAGATGGTTGAAATAAGAGGCATTGATATATCTTATTGCACTTGTTTGGATAGTTTATTTGTTAGTGATGCATCCATTAGCCTCCAAGGTGATAACAGTACTATTTTGGAATTCCAAAATCTGTTTACTCTTATTTAGGATAGTTTCCCTAGTACTATTTTGAAATTCCAAAAATCTGTTTACTCTTATTTAGGATAGTTTCCCTAGATTATTCGTAAGTGATGCGTCGAATATCCTCCAATGTGATAGGAGTTTGAGCAGCGCCACAGTTAGGAGACATTTCGAGTCCCGTCCTACCCTAAATTTGATAAAATTGTTACTATGTACGTAGTACAAAATATGTGTAAAAATATTTGTGTGAAGATTGTATTACAAATTAGGTTTTGACGCCCAATTTCAATATTTTTTGCTAGGCCGTAACACAGGGATTGGGATAATAATGTGCAAGTTGCTCCTATTGATACTAATAAGAACCTTTTGAGATCCTGGTTTTTATATTAGAGATCAAAGCAAGAACCTTTGAGTGCAAAAATGACTTGAGGGTCAATAATGCTAAGACGTTGCTTCAAAAGTCAAAAAGTTTATCCATACAAAATACTCGTGTATAATTTACTCAAATTTTATTTTCAAGATAAAGAGAGAAAAATACAGACAATAAAAAACAATGTTCAAGACAAGTTAGTGTGACTGAAGTTGGGCTAGTTGCTGGACAAGCCCTTCCAAACATTTTATAGAGCTTCCATCAATCTTAAGTGCTTCAAGTGCCTCACCCTTCAATTCTTGGGCTCTCGCCTTCCCCGAAATAGCGCAATTCATTGACTCGCTAATTTTTATTGCCAACGAGGCCGTGTCAGGCACCGTGGCAGCTCCCTCTAACACGCGGACCGAAACCCCCAAGTCATCAACCAATAACTTGGCATTCACATATTGGTCAGCCTCCATTGGCCACCCCAATATCAGCACCCCTGCTACTATTGCTTCCAACACCGAGTTCCAACCACAATGACTCAAAAACGCACCAACGGCTGGATGGTTTAGTATGTCCACTTGAGAGGCCCAACCCCGAATTACTAGGCCTCTTCCCTTGACCCGGTCCTCGAACACTTCCGAGACTGATCCATAACCCAAATCCATTTGTTCAACAGTGGGCTCTTTCACAACCAGCACGAACCGAACCCCGCTCTTTTCAAGCCCATCAGTCAGGGCGTCTAACTGAGCCTTCTTCATCAACTTCTGACTCCCAAAGGCCACATACAACACTGACCCCTCAGGACACCCATCAAGCCATACAAACAAACTCTCTTGCCCATTGATCTGGCCCACGCCATGAGGACCACCCATCAAACTCAAAAGCCCAACATGAAAAACTCTCCCATGGCCCATCTTATTCTTCAAGAATTCCAAATACACCCCATCCAATGCCTCAAAGGTAGTGACAATAGCCCCCCAACTTGTGAAATTCCCAATCATGCCCCTCCTTATGCTCTCCCAATCAGGATCAGATTCCTTGTAGTTCTTTATCATGGAAGGAAGATGCTCCCTTGGGAAACTGGGAGAGTTTGGCAGCTCTGGAAAGTCAACCACCTCCGAAGACCTCAAAGTCTCCACCTTTTTCCAACCGCATTCAAAGACGCAAGCCAAGAACGCGCTGTGGCAGAAAAAGCATATTCCGGGCACGCCGATTTCTCCGGCCATGTCCTCCACCCATCCCAAGAAAACATCATGAATGATCGCCACCGGAGGATTTGAATGAGATCCGAACCACTCGACTATCGGTCGGCGGAGCTTGGAAAGGGAGCTCATGATTGGGCCATTTCCCCAGTTGCCGACGTCCTTGACATTCTCGACGCCGGCGGGGAGGAGAGGGTGGCCGGCCGGAAAAGGGAAGACCAGGGTTTGGATGGATGGGTGGGTGGAGAGGAGTGGATCGAGAATTGAGAGGTTTTTGGGTGTGACGAGGATGGTGATGGTTAGGCCGCGGAGGGCTAGTTGTTGGGTCAAGTCAAGAAGTGGGAGAAGGTGTCCTTGGGCTGGGTAGGGGAAGACCAGTACATGGACTCCTGTTCCATTTTTGGAGCTTGACATTTCTGCTATGGAGAAATGGAGTGGGGAGTGGAAACCAGAAATTTATTTGGTGCCGTAGCAAATGAGCAATTGTGTTAATCGGAGTAGTTTAGTCGTCTTGAAGACTTGAACGCTAATATAACCAACTCGATTTGTTAGAGTTAATCGCTAATATTGGAGCAAAACATCAAAAAAGTGCAAAAGTAGGAGTATGTTTGTAGACTTTTCCAAACAGGTGTAGTCTTTAAAGCTTGGACAAAGAATACATTGCCAATAGCCGGTCGTCGGAATTTACCAAAAATTTCCAGATCAGATTTGTTACCGCCGTTCCGCTTGTCACCGCCGGTGACTTCCTCCGCTGCTGCCACCAGCGGACTGCCCGCCACCAATGTACTGTTCCAGTGACCCAATGGAACTAGGAGATCAATTAATTAAGGGAGAAGTATGTCATCAAACTTACATAAAAAAAGGCAAATAAACCCTTTAGGAGACTCTGTCCAGCCATCGTCATTTGGGGTGGTTTCTGGGGGAATTTTTTGATGAAATTTTTTAATCATCTTATTCATTAAGTCTAGTTTACTCATACTAAATTTTAGCTAAATATTCAATCGGGAAGGCACTCAAATGAATTTTTGAACATAACTGCGCAATTAAACAACGCAGTATATTTCAGAAAATCATTTGACTGTCTTCTCGGTTGAAGTTTTAGCTGAAATTAGGTATAGGTAAACTAGACTTAATGAAGAAGATGTTCAAAAAATTTCATTAAAAAATTCCACCGGAATCCTCTCCAAATGGCGACGGCCGAACAGAGCCTCCTATAAAAGGGCTTATTTGCACTTTTTATGTAATTTCGAGGGCTTATTTGATAGTTCTCCCATTAGGGGTACTAGAGGTATAAAATTGGTATTTAACCTATTTAGGGAAAACTTTTCTAGGGTTGACGCAAGGCGATCTTTATCCTCGGTGTGTCCGATATCGGCTTAGCCGAGGAGCGGGATTCAGTTTCGACCGGCCAATTTGTTATTATTGATCAGTGTGGAGGGTGGACGAAGGTGGTCGATCAGGAGGTTACGGAGATCATTGTGGGGTGAGATCCGTTGAGGAAGATTTGAGCAGCGATGTTTTGGGAGGCGTTCGGCGGGTTTAACGAAGCACGAAGCGGATGATAGGTCTGTGCATCAGCGGTTCTAGAGTTTTTTAGATTTATGGAGAACATTGTTGGTCAATACAAAAAGATGGCAATTGGTGCGAAAGAAGAAGAATTGTGTGGAGATTGGCATGATAGGTTCTCAAATGAATTTTGTAGAGGTTGAAATTCTCTTCTATCATACTACAAGTCTATTCCTAGGGCTTACGATCGGATTTGTAATATCTATCTGGATTTGGTGTTGCGTATTTGCTTTATTTTAATGGAAAGCCGTTTTGATGATCAAAAAAACCTATTTAGGGAAGACCGGAGATTAATTACTATTTTGTCTAGAGGTTGTAACAAAATCCTATTTGGACATCTCATTCAAAGATTCTCATTTTCCATATTAGGAAACAATTAACATTACTAAATAACATTTAATTATTAAATATTAAAAATAATCCATCTATAACATCACATTTATCATCAATAACTTACTTCGTATTATATTATATACACATCAAAAGTATTTCTCAAAATATACTCAAATTAACATATTTAATTATTTAATTATTATCTAAATAATCAAGTCATTTTCGAATGATAACTATTAAATCGGACAGGGATAGTACTGAATAGAGTCCAAATCTACTGTACTATGTACGGAGTAAGAAATTATTCACTCACGTATATTTTTCTGGTTTTTGAAGTTCCATATTTGTGCCTTATGATAAGTAACAATATAATTTATACTAGTAAATATTGATCCTTTAATTATTACTTGCTTTCAAGCTCGTGCGATGCACGGACAGTATGTGATTTAGCTAATTTGAAATTTAATTTCTATCGAATCACATATAATGTGATTTAAAAGAAAAATAAACTTAATCTAATATAAAGTCTGTTTGATAATACTAAAGTAAATAGAATTAATTTATTTTGCTGAAATTGATTGAATTCTGGTTAAATAGGTGGAATCTTCTGAATCATGAAAAATATATGTGAAATATATTCCATTTGTGAAACAAAGAAACAAATATATGAAAAAAAAAGTTAAATTGGTCTTCTACATAAGCATCTCTAGTAAACATAATTGTTATGAACCCAATAATAAAAAAACACCATATTTCTTAATTGTTAGATCTCACAGTTGATTCATTAATAAGAACGTTTTTATTTGAATTAAAATTTCGGTTTGATTTGGTATGGATTAATATGGTCTATTAGATGTCTGTTTTTTATGTGACTTATTGTTATAATTATTAAAGTTTGATCTGATCTGATTTAATCTGGAACTGAAATCAATCCAATTAAAAAAAATCAATTAAAATAAAAGTAGGAATTCATAAAGTGAAAGCATATTTGAATTTTAGGTGTAAAATAAAGAAACAACAAAAAAAAATTACTTATTTGGCTAAGCTAAACATATTTACTTGTGAAAATATATATACTTTATGTTGGTTATAATTTTTAATTTCATTTTTAATTATTTACTTATTTGAAGCTTACTAATTTATTAATAGGTGTCAAATTAATAAGTAAACTAATTTACATATTTGTTTCTATTTAATTCGGTGTAGTAAACTAATATAAATTAGTTTCCATATCAATAAACGTTATTAGATTTTCACTTTGATAACCAAAAATTATTTTACTTATTTGAAGCTTACCAAATTAATTAAGTTGGATTTATAAGGATTTTTGTTTCCATATCAATATGCAATCAAAAATAGAATCTAATAAAAACAAAAGGTATAAAAATAAGTAAATAATTGTTATATATAATGACATGACAAGATTATGTGGCGCTTTGTATGCTCTTAAAAAGTTCCTCTTATATAATATATATATATATTGATTAAAAAAAATATGTTCACGTAGATGATACTGAATTGGTAAAGTAAGAATGAAGTAATAAAGATTTAGAATCATACAAACTTGACCAAATTTAAAAGCTGTCCTCTTCGCCTGATCCTAATTTTTCTTATCTGAATTTTTTAAATTCTAATCTGAATTGAATCTTTTTTATCTGATCTGAATCTTTCTGATCTGATCTGAATCCATATCTGATTTGAATGTTTCTGATCTGATTTCAATCTTTCTATCTGATTTGAATGTTTCTGATCTGAATAAAATAAGAATCAAACAATAAGTAATAAGAATACGACGAACATAAAAGCTTCTTAGTAGAAGACAATCTTAACAAGACGAACATAAAACAAAAGATGAAATAATCTTAACCGGACAAAGTGAGTATTATTTCGATCTTATATTCATATTTTGAACTAGTTATTTTAATCCAATTGAACTGTTAATCCGAAATAGTCCGGATGAAATACAAATTGGGAGCCGCTTTTGTTGTTTTTACGATGAAATGTTGGATTTAATTATGACAAAGATGTGCTTTAATTAAAAAATGGACTACCGACAAGAATCCCTCCTCGGGCGACGTGGTCCAATATTATTGGATGTCCAATATGCATGGCCCCACCAGAAGACTTCAGTCACCCACTCTTACCTTTTCAGGTACACAGACTGCATTCTTTCCCTATCAAATGAGTGGCAATGGCAAGTGGATGATGGATCCTTACATTGAATTATTCGTTATGATTCATCTTTAAATTCAGATTTCAAAAATGCCCATAAACTCAAACGAGTAATCAGTAGAATTTAGACTCAAAACCAGGACATGGATCTCAAGAGACAAGGCTAGAGGTTTGGAAGTTCTCAATGATATGATTTGCAGTTGAGTGTTCTATAATCTCTTTTTGATAACCAATCATATTGAGATCTTACTGGAGGAAGTTGCCTGAATTGAAGCCTGGTTGAGGACATGGGAGAGGTAAGAAGCTCAATGGAGATCCTAAGTCAAGTGGACTTGGACATGGCGTATTCTTCTGAGAAGCTGGTGAATCTGGGCAGCCTGTTTGTGACTGTGATGACCAAACAAGATGAAGTTGAAGCAATGGCAGTTGAAAATGACGACTCTCCGGATGCCGTTGAGAAAGCTTTGACATTACACCACTTAAGTGCTATTCTCAAGGCAGAGTTTAGACAGTTGGATGATTTCGTGAGTAATATCCACGATCTGATTCTTGGTGCGCCAGAAAAGATCTCTTCCTGTGAGAGATTGAGTGAACTGGATACAACGGCGGAGCACAAGTTGCAAGATTCTGAAGAATCGTTGGGCCAATTGAAAGAACGTATTCTAAGTATGAAGATTCAGCTAGCCAATCCGTCGCTGATTGGCTCTTTATTTGATCAAGATGACTGTAAGTAATGAGTTGATTCTTAAGGTCACCATTTATTTCGTGTTAAGTTTTATGCAGAATTTAGAGACTATGGCCTCGCTTCATATGGTTTTATGTTTTCTAGTTTTTTCAGGGTTTTGTTGGATCTTATTTTACAAGATCCGTCATATTCCTTTTAAAAACATAACACAAGAAAATTAAAAACTAAGAACAATACATAATGGGCCCTACATTTACAAAAAACAGGTTACAGAAAAAACTAACATGTTTGAAGGATGACAGGGAGACATGAATTGGCTTCAAAGCCACAAGTGCAGATAGCAGAGCAAAAACGTCTTCTAAAAATGTTGGGGAAGTCTCTTGCAAGAGAGCTAGACCTCGAGATGAAAATGAAGTTGATGAAACAAAACGAAGATGATTTTAAGGAGAAGCTCAAGTTGAGAGAACACATAGCTTCATGCATGGAAGAAGCCGCAGAGGTAATATGGGGAAGGTTTTTGGAGGCAGACAATATAGGCGAGGTGCTCATGGGCATCTCAAAAGATATTGCAGGTCAACTTCGGATAGCGAATCTCAATCTAAACGGTTCCCATAAAAGAGAAAACGAGATTCGATTGAAACTTCAAACTTGCATGGAGCACTCAAATACTAAAGATATTGTCATTCAAAAGCTCAACGAAAGCATTGCATACCTTAAAGATGAAAACGCTCAAGTAGTGTCCTTGCAACAGAAAATTGAAAAGCTAGGGCAAAACTTGATGGCATCTGAATCTCAACTAACAAGGGCAAATTCGTCAATTGAAGTGCATATTGAGCAGATTAATGAAATGGAGATTGAAATAGAATCTCTAAAGGAAGAAGTCTATCAATTGGAGAGTAGGGCTGAAAGTGCTGAGGTAAAAGTCTCGCAGTTAACAGAAGCAAACTTGGAGCAAAGTGAAGAACTGGGTTTCCTCAAAGACAGCAATGATAATAGTGTAAAACGAGTGAGCATACTTGAAAAAGAGATGAGGGAGCTTGACATTCAACTTCAGAATTATAAAGCATCTTCTGAAGCAAGTCAAGAGCAGCAGAACATGTTATATTCTGCCATTTGGGATATGGAAACGCTGATTGATGAGTTGAAACAAAAAGTTTCTAAAGCAGAAAACAAGACAGACATTGCAGAGGAGCAATGCATTGCATTGTCAGAACTTAATTCAGAGCTCAACAAAGAAAAAGGTATCCTGAGGGTCAGATTGCAAGATATGGAGTCATCTTTGAATCAAGCTAAGGTTGAGAAAATGGCGAGTGTGAAAGACATTAACATTAAGACAAGTTTTATAATGGATTTGGTAACGCAACTAACTGTAGAACGAGAACGGGTGCAAAAACAGGTTCTTTTCATGCTTATCACTTCCTTTAACGAACATGTATGCCTCATTCAATTTCGTTTAGTTACCAGGAACCCCCTTTTCCCGGTTTTTGTGTAAGGAAGGAGTTCCATTCTAAAGTATCAATGTGGTAATAGGAGTAACCCAATATCTTTTAAGTTGGTTGATGATTTCATAATTGGTCCATGTAAGACAAATTATTCAACAGTTTGGATTAGGAGAGCTCGACAATTAAGAAATTCCTTGGGATTTCAATTTCTTGAATTGGGCCGGTACGTGTCTCCAATAGGCCACGTGTTTAGAGGGATTCCCAAGCTTTTGAATGAATTCCTTTCACTGCAAAAGTTATTTTAACTAATTCTCATTAATTTCATTCATAATAATTCAAATAGATATATGAACAAAAACTAACATGTAAGAAATTAATATATTTTTCATATCAAGTTGGCCATTTATGATATAACTGAAGTACAGTGTTAAAGGAATATAAGCTTAGGTGAGTAATTGAATCAAAGTATCCTAAAAGATGAGCAAAACAAAACATTGGGATCGGTATGTCTGTGGGATACCTTTTTGAGTTTCAAACAAACTTTAGAAGCTGACTATATTGATAAACATTTGCAGTTGTGCTGTTTGATAAAGGAAAAAAGATTGTTGATGAAGAAGCTAGAGATGGTCAATGAACCTGCATCTGCTACCGTTCTTGAGAGCAGAGAAGCTGATAATAAAGAGCACCCACTTTCTACACACCAATTTGCTGGAGATGCTCCATTGAAAATGCCAATTGAGTCCTCTTTGAGAATCAATGAGGTATGTTCTTCTACGAGATGAAATGGATAAATGGTACCTTAACTGTTTGTATTAATACATTGTGGCACTCCAATTATTGAATGAAGGTTATGAAGCAAATAAGTACCATAATTATATTTAAGTTGTGGCTAATGTTATCCCATTTGTAATGATTAGCCTAATCATTCCACAAATCTGTGTAAGTAATTAATCTACCGAGTTGATGAGGCCATTACAAGTGAAGTGCAGATCTGGTTAGTTGTAATGATTAGATTAACTGCATGTCGGATATGAATAAATTGGACCAGCTGGTCCAGTTTAAGTTTAACACTAAATGTGAGTAAATTAATTAATTACACATAAACTTAAAGAAATGTATGTGGAACACAGGCTACTACAAGTCAGATGATTTTGGCTGGAATTTGAAATAGTTACGGTGACAGCTAAATAGAATAAGGATCAAATGAGAAGAGCGCTTATCGTAAGAAGTGAGAATGCATTTGGTGCGTTCAATTTAAGATCTGTGCATCAGATTAGCAAAAAAGTGCACGGAAAAGTGCAAAACATATTAAAAAGGTGATGCTAGACGCGGTGGCATTTCCGTAATTAATCCAAACTTTTCTGCCATCGCAAAAAGTGCATCAGATTAGCAAAAAAGTGCATCAGGAATAGGTAAATGTGTAACTTCTCACTTCTCACGTTAAGATGTCTTCTCATTAGAACCCGACCCCAGCTAAATATACTTATAGTACTTATTTGCTTCCTTAAATAGTATTTATTTTTGGTAAAGATACAGTGGTTTATTCATAGTTTACTTCACCGGTTTAACTCAAATAAGGTGGAAGATCAACATGAGAAGTCCTCTTACAATGAAACTGGGAATGGGGTGTCATCTTCTTCCACCAATTATCATCATGAGGAATATTCAGTTGTAGAGGAGAAAACTGTTGATGTCATAGAGGCAAAGCATGGTCAGAGCAGAAGATACATATTCATTGCATTACTCGTCTCACTGCTCTCAGTAATAGCACCATTTTTATACGGCCGAGAAAAAAACTTTTGGGGTAGTTAATTTATGGTGCCTGAGATGTTTATATGTTGTAACTTGTAAGTACAATTCATGCAAATGTTTGTACAGCATAATATGGGGTAGTAAGGTTTGTTTTTAAGGGCTGCAAAAAGAAAATGCAACTACATTTTGTAGATTTGTACCATTTGAGGACTAGTGATTTGTTGGTTGCAAGCTTGCAGCATGTATTATGTGAGTATGATCTTCAATTGAAACAGCGTACATGTAAGCACTTATTTATTTATTTACTTGTTTGATTGTTTGTCGCCACTACAAAAGAGTAATTCTTTTGTTAGCTTTAAGGTTAACTGATTTGTAACTGAAGAGTTTTGAATTGATGATAAAAACAGAAAGAGCCTTGTTCAGTTGAGCTTGTTTGCAATTTTGACATTGTCTGTTGGATAGTTACATATTTATCTATAGTAATGATGATAGTGGTGGTGATAGTGAATTAGTGACCATGATAATGACGACGACATAGTAACAATAACTAAATGTTTATTGGGGATGAAGTTACCTCCAAAACCGGTGCACAGCAAGGCTGGGCAAGGCTGCACCACATAGGACGTTTTGGCTTGCAACAAAACATAGAAACTAAGCCGGCTTGGTTTGATTAGATAAATCCTTACACTCTCAATAATACAAAAGAGAAAAGAATAGTTCCAAATGAAGAATAAACCGTAATTACAACCTTGACCACCGAGCCACAATATATTACGCTCTCGCTTGAGTCACCAATGACATTATGATTTTGGGAAATACAATTGGCATATGAGTTTCAATAGGGAAATACTAATACAGTAATACCCCAAGAAATATTATACATGCTCTATTATAAATACAGTGCATTTCATATATACATGTCAAAATCTTCTCTGCTGTGAGGAACACTTTGAGATTTCCCCCCCACTCTTCACAAGTATGAGAATTCTGTCTTCTCTGAGATATGAACCAGATCAGGGCCACTTGGACTGTTATGTTTGGGTAGCTAACACTTGCATTAGGAGCATTTGTGGATATCCTTGTGTTAAATTAATGTGAATTTCTTATTTGAGTGGTGTTTATTCTATTTTTTTCATATTTTATTTCATTTATTAATAAAAGGCACTATCAACTTTTAGAGAAGCAACAATGGGAATTTTTCTATATTTGTATATCTTTAAATGACATGTCATGCATGTATATATAGGAGTTACAGCTCAGCAAATGTAATAATGAAAGTATGAAACTATAAAATAATTTAGCTAATTCAATAATGTTACATATGAGTACAAAATATAATATAATATAATATATTATAATATAATATAATATAATATATCTAATTCTAATAGGCACCTACGTTCATTCCAGACATGAAGAAATACCAGTTAACAAAAGTTTAGTACTCCGCAATATATTCAAACAGAGACATCTCTACGCCATAAAATTGTTCTTGCTACAAGGGAATTACACGACCAACCAAACTACTAAGCATATATGTGTAAATTCCAAGCCATACATTTAGTTAAAAATCTAATACGTGGTATAAAGAATATGTGTAAATAGATAGATAACACTATCTGTCTTATGCAATGGAGACAAAGACCCACTATTTTTTGCTTGGGAATATGATGGAATAAATCAAAATGACTCACAATATTGTTTGAACTTCTTTGTTATGAAGCAGCCATCAGTCCATACAATTTCTTCCGAAGTGATTTTCACTATGGGTTGTCCGGAAAAAATCTCTCTGTACTTTTAGTACAAAGGTAAGGTTGCGTACATCTGACTTCCCTTACTCAACCGCAGGTGGAAGCCTTTATGGCACTAAGGTAATGATGATGATAATGTTGATGATATACTACGTAAATACTAGGACACTAGAATGGAATTTTCCTTGGAAGAGTTCTTCAAAAAAGGCATTCTCCTGTCCACAACGGGAGTTTACAACAATTGAATTTTAATAGGTCCTATAGTATTTTAATATATATGCTTACAATGAATGTGGTTTTGTTAGAACTAGCTCAAATATACAATTAAATCTCTGAAAGTATCAAACTAACAATCTGCAACTTTATTGATTAAGTACATGTAACAAGAAACTATGGCCGAAGCCCCCAAAAGCGGAAGCTCCCAAAGAAAGAGATTATTAGTCTCAGTCTTCCCAAGACAAAGAGTCCAAAAGCCTACTCTTTATTGCCCACTCCCCTTCTATTTATACTACTGTTAGGGACCGGGCCTATAGATACTAAGAATAAAAGACCGGGCCTATTAGAGTATTAATAAGAATAAAGTGTATTAGTTTAGTATAAATAGAAGATAGCAGGGGAGATTTAGGAGGCTGTTTTTAGACTTTGACTTTGGGACTTTGGGAGATCGAGAACTATTCTCTTTCTTTGGGGGGCTTCGGCTCAACTGGGGGCTTCGGCCATTTGTTACGATTACTGTTCTTCTTCTCTAATAAAATTGCAGTTAGTTTTCTTGAATCTTCTTCTATAATCTTCTGTATTATTGTACATCCTTATCATTGGTATCAGAGACTGGTTGTAGTTGTGAATGGTTGGCACGAGGAAGGAAATGGAAGGCAGGATGGCAGAAATGGAACAGAACGTCGAGCGAGGTCAGCGGGAATTAGGTGCGAAGATGGATACGAAGTACGAAGAATTGCTGGCGATGATGCAAGCTGGATTTGCCGAGTTAAAAAATCAAAAAACGGATCGATCAAGAAGTAGGTTGCATCGATCATCTGCCTCGCATCGATCATCTGCCTCGCATCACACATCTACATCGCATCACACTTCTCACCATCATCGATCACCTCACCATCATCGTTCGCGACAATCGGCAAGTTCAGAGGGATCGGAAAACAATTCCGACTATTCTCCTCCACGTCGACATCAACACCGCCATTATCACAGGGAACGTCATCTTCATCATACAGGTAGAAAGATCGACTTACCTATTTTTAATGGAGAAGATGCTTCTGGATGGTTGGTTAGAATGAACCGATATTTTCGCTTGAATCAAACTGAAGAGGAACAGAAAATTGATGTCGCTGTAGTAGCCATGGAGGACCAAGCTCTCAGCTGGTTTCAATGGTGGGAGAGACAGGCTACGCATCAAAACTGGGACTCTTTTACTCAAGCTTTGACCAAGCGATTTCAACCTGATATGGTACAGGATCCACTAGGGCCTCTGTTTAGCCTGAAGCAGAAGGACACAATTCAGGAATACCGAAATAAATTTGAAAAGGCTATCGCTTCACAAGGCCACTTAACTGAAGAAGTCTTGAGAGGAGCCTTTCTTAAGGGGTTGAAAAGAGATATAAGAGCAGAATTGAAGTTACATCGAACTAGGACGCTGGCAGAAGTTATGGATACTGCATCCGCGATTGAGAACAAGAATTCTGAAACCTTCTTTGTGAAAAATAAGGATGAAGGAAGGAGGAAATGGCAGAATACTCCTATCATCAAATCTTCAGGCCAGAAATGGGGAGATGAAAGCAGGAAAGAAAGTCCAAGATGCGTATCTAATGAGGCAAGTCCCAGACTATCCCAAGAAGAACTATTAAACAGAAGCAAGAAAGGACTCTGTTTTAAATGTGGTGAAAATTGGGGAAGAGGACATGTCTGCAAGATGAGGAACTATAAAATGATCCTAGTGGAGAATTCAGAGGGTGAAGCTGATTCTGAAGTTGAATTACTGGAATCTAGCAGGGATAAGACCACACCTCTAGAATTGAAGACCATGCAGTTTTTTTTAAGTGATGAGATAGACAAAACCCCTGTGAAAACATTTAAGGTGACAGGTAAACTGAGATGGCATGAAGGTGAAAACACAGTAAATGTACTCATTGATGGAGGTGCTACACACAATTTTATGTCACTAAGCTTGGTGGAAAAGTGGAGGATTCCTTATACTCCTTTTCAGGGAAATAGGGTGCAGTTAGGGAATGGAGAATGTATTCAAATCTGTGGCAGGTGTGCAGATGTAGATCTGAATGTGCAAGGAATTAGTATTCACCAAACTTATTACTTATTGGAGCTGGGGAGCATGGATTTAGTCTTGGGAATGGACTGGCTAACAAGATTGGGAGACACGAAGATTAACTTCCAAAGTCAGACCTTAAAATGGGAAGTACAAGGGCAGAAGGTGATTTTACAAGGAGATGAATCATCAAGTGAACAGGATGTTGAAGGAAGATATGTTCATACTGATCAAAAGCATGAAGTAGTTGTCCCCTATATTGCAGCAGGCCGCACCTGGGTCTTCCAAAAATCTGCAGGAATCAAAGTTTTGGATCAAATTTTCTGGCCTCTGTGGAACTATGCTATGAATTACATAGAGTGGAAGATGGAAGTAGTAAAGCAAAAGATCCAGAAGACAAATCTGTATTGGAGAGGGAGGGGTGCTAGGATGAAAGAAAAGAAGAAATTGGTGGCTATGTCCTATCACCCACCTTGAGGGCAAGGTGGATGTTTAAGGGGGGAGTATTGTTAGGGACCGGGCCTATAGATACTAAGAATAAAAGACCGGGCCTATTAGAGTATTAATAAGAATAAAGTGTATTAGTTTAGTATAAATAGAAGATAGCAGGGGAGATTTAGGAGGCTGTTTTTAGACTTTGACTTTGGGACTTTGGGAGATCGAGAACTATTCTCTTTCTTTGGGGGGCTTCGGCTCAACTGGGGGCTTCGGCCATTTGTTACGATTACTGTTCTTCTTCTCTAATAAAATTGCAGTTAGTTTTCTTGAATCTTCTTCTATAATCTTCTGTATTATTGTACATCCTTATCAACTACTCTATCTATTACATTTCTTATTTACTCTTATTCTACCGGGTCCCTAACATATCTCCCCCCCTAAACATCCACCTTGCCCTCAAGGTGGGCGATAGGAAGCAGCCAAGATCTTCTGCTTCCTCTTCATCCTTGTGCCTCTCCCTTCCCAATACTTGACTGGTTGATGGACTAGGGACTTTCGTACGAGATCTTTTAAGATCTCAGAACTTTCAGTAGCAGAAGAAATCAGCAGTGAAGATTCATTCAATTCAGTCTCTTTCCAGCACTTGATAGTAAAAATATTTCTTCACTTTTCTGCAGCTCCTCATATTTTCCAGTCTCTGATACCAATACTGTATTGGATGCAAGCTCCTTTACATACCTTTCAACTTCTTCCTCTTTTAATTCTTTACTTACCTCATTTGACAAGGAAAACCTCAAAGGTTTTAGCAAGCAAGTAATGAGATGCATAATTCCAGCTGCAGTTCTCATAACTAAAGAACATGAAAGCTCATCTCCCATGTAAAAGTTCCAAAATTGGTTTTCTTGCACGTAGACAGATCTATCACCATTATACGACATGGCCATTTTCCAACCCTGTTCTAATTTCACCTTTTCATTTGCTTCATTATGTTGTTCCACAAAATTTTCCACTGTTTTCTCATTTAAAGAATCTGAAATTCTGAGTGCTCCTGTTAAAAAACCAACCCACAAATTGGTGGAGGAATCAAGGGTACTTGGATCCCTTCCCTTCAGATTCACAAGAACAAAGGAAACAACTGGGGAATAGTATTGCTTGAAACATGGTGATAAGATGCTTCTCAGCAATCAATTTCTGATTAGGTACTGCTATTTCAGCCCCTTTGTCAGCAATAGCAAGCCTTCCTCTGCTCACACCCTCCCTCCAATTTAGAGGACCTCCATGTGAAATCACTACCCCAATTTGAATAATGGCATATGATTCCCAAGAAAAAAGATGAACCCGATCCTTAAGAACCACTGGACTAGATCTCTTTCGTTCCAAGCATGAATTCCCTAAAACTATGTCCTCGATTTTAAGTAACCCATTTTCAGAAGTTCCCAAAGGACATGGTTGGAGAACCAAATCAACAATAGAAACGATGTTCAATCCTTCCAACACAAAGTTTGATGAATGGCGATACATCATATCAGTCTTGCAGACATTTGGCCAGTTCCTCTTCTGTGCAAGATGAGAAGAAATATCGCATACCTAAAGAAGCTTGAACCTATTGGTTTCAAGGCCTGACTGGTCAAGATCGTATTTGGAAAACATCTTACTTCTGGAGAATCCAACAACTGTTCCATCTTCAGGTTCAAGAGTAACTGATAGTTTATCACTGAATTCCTCTTCTCCATAGGTGTGCTGCTGAATAACCAAATTCTGCTGCGACTCTGGAAATTCAAATAAAGATTTCGAACTGGACTTGTCTGCTCTAGTCAAAACCAGAGGACCGGAAGAAGTATCTTGTGACTGAGAAGGGTATTTCCTTTTCGAATTCAAGCAGCGACGCACAGTCCTTGACCGTCCTCGCCTACGACATTTTTGTCACGGCTTGGGCTTCCCCTTCTCCAGGTTTGAGGACTTCTCTTTCTCTGGTTTTGAGCTCTTCTCCTTCTCCATGTTTGAGCGCTTTTCCTTTTCTAGGGTTGAGCGTTTCTCTTTCTCCATTTTTCCTCGCTTATCCTTTTCCGCGAGCTTCCCCACTTCTTCGTGCGGCTTCTTTCGCGAGTGCGAAACAGTTCGCGACTCTTTCTGCAACTCCTGCGAGTGCGAATTAGTTCGCGACTCTTTCTGCGAGTGCCGATTGTTTCTTTGCGGGCTTATTTTGCGTATCCTTTCGCACAAACGCCTGGTATCTTCGCGCATTTTTTCCCAAAACAGCCCCCAATCTTCCATCGTTCCTGTACAGGACTACAGGTAACAAGATCGTTTTCTCTGATATCAATGTTAGAACCAGCTCAAATATACAGTTAAATCTCTGAAAGTATCAAACTAACAATCTGCAACTTTATTGATTAAGAACATGTAACAAGAAACTATGGCCGAAGCCCCCAAAAGCCGAAGCTCCCAAAGAAAGAGATTATTAGTCTCAGTCTTCCCAAGTCCCAAGACAAAGAGTCCAAAAGCCTACTCTTTATTGCCCACTCCCCTTCTATTTATACTACTCTATCTATTACATTTCTTATTTACTCTTATTCTACCGGGTCCCTAACAGGTTTTCTTCTAAATATTTCTTATACTCAGTATTACATAGACTGGGTAGGAGGCAGTAGAAGAAAAGAATGGAAGGACACCACATTCTCCTCCATTGAGTTCAAGAAGCTCTCCTCCCTCGTAACTTTATCATCCTATCTGCAATTGGATTTTTATTATTTAAAACACACAAGTTGTTAACTATTTCTAGCTAGACTATAGCATGAATATATTCATATTGCAGTTTGTTATTGAGGTAGACTGTAAAACAAAGCAAACAATTTAATAGGATTCAATTAAAATTGTGAAATACATATTATTGTTTTTACAAGAAAATAGGTAATAATTTTCGGCCCTGCGAAAAAGAAAATATGTAGATACTTAATTAGGAATTGAAGGAGCCATATTTTTAGGCAATGAAATCATGTGGTTAAGATTCATTTTAAAAAACTATGTATAAACCATTTTATTTTTGTTTTAAAATGTAAGAGTAACATTTTGAGATTATGAGTGTAAAGAACATTTTAGGATGAATTTTCTCAAATATTCTTGAATGAAGCTTACATCATTCCGTTTTAAATATAAAATACATAGTATAATCTATGAAGCACGGAATTTCCCGCTGCTTATGTTTCCCTATTTAGGAAATTCAGAAGCGTGTCAGACTGTCGGGAACTCGGAAACTTCAAATTCCCAGTTCAGGACCATTTCCTTAATTAAGAACATGGAAACCTGTTTCCATAAATAATTAGAGCGTTAAAAACATAGGCTTTTTACTTTTAATCTTTTTTATATGATTCTTTGAAAGGAAATAGTCCCTTTTAAATATTTTAGTGATTTTTATTGGATTTCTTTCTAGCTACATTGTGATATTTCATAATACAATGCATTGCTAGAAATGTATTACATTTTATGCTTAATTGTTCAAAAATGTATATATTTGAACATGTAAAATGTATTACATATATCTATTATTGATTATCTATGTGATTCCCCATTTTATGTATCATGTACTTTTTAGATATCCCGTTTCTCGAGTTTCTCGTGTTTCCCGTTTTGTATTTTTGTACTATTTAATTTATACTCCGCAATTATGTAAAATATATTTTGCATATAGATAAGCACAACTCTCCATAGGAAAACTATTGCCTACTTCAGGTAGATATGAGCTTATAGAAGTGAAAACTGTGTTATTACTTATTCGTAGTGGGGAAATTAAATGCACCTACTGCTTTGTTTAGTTTTAAGATGGAAAAAAGAAATGTAATGAAAGAACATAGGGACAAAATTAAATATCGTGTATAGTGTGATACGTTCTTAGAGTCGATTGCAAGTGTATGCCATTAATATAGCTAGAGAGACATATACCTTTAAAGTGAGGCTTTCATTCAAGTTTGGGAGGAGATGACATCATATTATAATTACTTATGTAAAAACTATGAATAAAAGTAGCTGTCAATTGCTTTCCAAGTTAGACTTGTTGCAATCTTAAAGGTAATAAATTGTTGGTGGATGGAAATTTAAATTTGAAATAGGGGAAAGCTTGACCAATGTAATCACACATATTTTGTACAAAAAGAATTATTCCAAAACACCAAAGGTCCACATCAATTCAAATCTTTTTTTGAAGCCCAATGGCAAACCTTAAAGGGCCAGGGAGCACCTTACCTATCTTATTATGTTATAGGACAACTAAAATGTTCTGCGCAATGACATTTTGTTTTGTAAAACATGTTTTTCCTTGAGCATAAATTTTTTATCAATACTTTGTCTTAATCATAACAACATATTTGTTGCTATAATCATAGATATTTTATTATTATTATCATATAGCTACCAGTTGACCAAAGCAGCCTTCAGGTCCCTCACTTCATCCTGCAACTAAACTTTTCAATGGCCAGCGCCTATCTTAAGAGCATTTACCTTATCCCTGAGTAAGTTAGTCATTAATGTTTGAGCATCGCACAGATATTCACTGCCCTCAGATATTTGCTTTGTAAGGAGATTTATTTCTTTCTTCGCGCAGAATAGTTCTTCTCAGATCTCTGCTAGTTCCTTCGAACAACTTCCACTTCTTTGCTGTTGCTGCTATCTATGACCCCTTAGCAAAATCCTCTTGCATCACCTGATCAAGCAAAATATATATTGGCTCTAACAAGTTTGATATTGAAAAGGTCCAAAAGGACACATGTAATAAATACAAAAAGACAGCAATTACTACATACAAGTATACAAAGAATATATCCTGCATTCCTGCCTTGAACACTCTCTCCTCCTGGAGAAGAAAAACAATCAGTGGAATTTTTGGTTGTGTAGCTTTCCTTACCACATGCACTGAAATTGCATAAAACAAATAATTAGTAAAAAATAGTTACAAAACTAACAACACTAACAGACTAGGTGGCAAAGAAAGACACCAGAGCTTTGACATTCTTAGATGGAATGATCTTTACCTGTGTCTGCACCCATTTGTCTTTCTAAGTCCTGATCCGCCAGCTGTAGCCTATTAGTTGCCAACACGGCTTAGTACAGTGTCATTTCATAAAAAAACTAAAACATATAGGGGACAAAGAAAACAAATAAGGAACACTTCTTCACCTGAGTATATTCTAACACAATGGACCCTTTTGCACATTGAATCTTTTAAATTAACCGACTCAAGACAGACTATGCTAAAAGTAGTTTCTTTCGATTCATATGAAACACCCATGCATGATTGAAAATTAACCACTAGCTTAGCATAACATCCGTGATCAATTTCTCAACCCAATGTTTAACTCAGTCTCAATAGCCTGTAGTTAAATACAAAAAATAGCAATACAAAAAATAGCAAGGAAGATCTCATCCAAAGCTGCTACTCTAAAAAAAGTTGCTGATGAGTAATATTTTCTGCTTACAATAGAAATACAGAACATGCATGCTCAAAGAATACTCACATCCAAAAATATCTTTTTCTGAAAATTGGCATGCTCGTATCTCGGAACATGCTAGTGAAAGGAAAGTTATATTTTCTCATGATTAATTTTAACATGTATTAGAATAAAAGCAAGGTTGGAGATGGAAGTAAAAGCATCTTATTGAGAATGAGTAGTTACAGAGTATTTATACAAGTAGTAGTCTCAACAGACTAACAACCAACTAACAGAAGCCTGACAGATTATTAGCTACATTCTATTATAGAGAAATACATGTGTAGCTTTCATACAATATTCCTAATATTCCCCCCTCAAACTGGGGATGATTGTTTCCAGATGACCCATTATGAAAGTCGCGTCGAAAATTGCAAAAAATATGTCTAAAATGAAAAAATCGCAAACAAATGTTCCTTTTAAATTGGGGAAACTTTACCTTGAGAGGGTCTCAATAAAGCCTCATATAACACTAAGAATGCAATACCATGGAGTACTAAGAAGTGAAAAGAGGAAAGTACCTGGATTTAACATCTCAAAACAAGAAAGTGTGATATCTTTACACAGAGGTTATAGAGGAATGGATGAATCCTTCAGTGGACCTTCTAAATTCATAATCAAGGTGTACAGTCACCAATGATCCCCACAAGAACAAATCCCATCCTTGAAATGGTGAAAGCGATTGGAGTCTCTCACCACAATTTCTCTCTCAGTCACCATTGACATAAACTTGATGACATTATGGCAGTCACCACATATGCGTAAATTCTTGAAAATACATACTGAACTTTTAGGAGGAGTATTGAGAAGTCCATACACGACTGCAAACCTTTCACTGTGACTTGCAAGAATCTGTTCCTTCTCATCATCCTCAACGTCTTGCAACACAAAACTGAAGTCTGGAGTATAGCCAAGGGTTTTCACTTTAGCAGTTAAAATTCCCAGCTCCTCATATATTTTCTTATACTGCGGATGAGACTGGTTACCACCTGTATAGAAAACCTCAATCTTATTCCTTATTTCAATAGAGCTCCACCCTGGTGTCTTCCTTAATCCCCTATCTCTTGCTAATGATCTCACATCATCCACACATTCCCATTTTCCTGAATTTGCATAAATGTTTGATAACAAAACATAGTACCCAATATCTTCTGAGTTGACCGAAAATAAGTTATCAGAGGCCAACTTACCCAACTCAACATTTCCATAAACTCTACAAGCGCTGAGAAGAGCGCCCCAAACCGAAGCATCTGGCTGTAAAGGCATCTTTGTAATGAAATCATATGCCATTTCTAGTTGACCAGCCCTAGCAAATAAATCAACCAAACACCCATAGTGCCTTAGACTGGGTTTTATCCCAAACTTTTGCTGCATCAAATCAAAGTACCGTTTTCCCTCATCAACCAGACCAGAATGGCTGCAGGCAGAAAAAATTGATAAGAATGTTACACTATCTGGTTTAACCCCATCATCCAACATATCTCTAAATAGTGAAAGAGAAGCTAGACCATGCCCGTTAACTCCTTGACAAGATATCATGGCATTCCAAGGGATCGAATTATCCCTGGGAATTTCATAAAACAAAGACATAGCTTCTCCAAGTCTCCCACATTTGCCATAGAGGTCAATCAGGCAAGTACCCACAAAGACATCTAAGTGGAGACATACCTTGAATACCTGTCCGTGAGTCTTCATCCCTTCTCTCAATGACCCTACATGGGAATAAGCCGGCAAAATGCTGACCCACGTTCCTCGATCGGGTGTTATTCCCTCACACTCCTTCATCAAGGAGTACGCTTCAATGGCCTCACTTGCAAGGCCATTCTGCGCATAGCCTGTGATCATAGTGTTCCAAGAAACCACATCTTTACAAGGGAGATTATAGAAAACCTCACGTGCATAGTCAATGTAACCCATTTTGGCATACATGTCCACTATTGCATTACCTAGCACAACATCTTCAAGTATCCAACATCTCCTTAGGATGAACCCATGAATGGTTGTGCTGTGCTCAATTTTTTTAGTCTGGGCAATACTAGAAGCTAAGGTCATTAGTGTTAACGAATCAGGTTCGAATCCACTTAGCTGCATCTCTGAAAAGCACTTGAGTGCTTTATTGGGTTGATTGTTTTGGTCATATGCAGAGACCATTGAGTTCCAAGTGATTAAATCTCGAACCACCATTTGATTAAAGAGCTTCTCCGCATGCCCCAACTCGCCGAATTTGGCATACATGTTTATCAGTGCATTTGAAACAAATATGTCCCCCCACTCTAGCCCGTGTTTTAAGGCATATAAATGAATTAGCACCCCACGTAGGATATCATTCTTTTGAACACAAATGGGAAGAATACTTGCTACAGTCATTCCATCCATTTTAATGCCAACCGATCTCATCTTATCTATGATACACAGTGCACCTTCAGCATTCCCATTTTGACAGAACCCAGAAATCACAGCATTCCAACAGCCCATATCCCTGAAGGGCATATCATTAAAAATCATGAGAGCACCATCACAAAATCCAAAACGACAGTACATATGCACCAAAGAGGCAGCTATAAATACATCCCATTCCAGACCTAGTTTTGAAACCCAGCAGTGAATCCTCATCCCATCAAATACATTGTGGCAGGTTTTTAAAATAGGTGGAAAAGTATAAAAGTCAGGCCGAGCATCATGAGATGACAACATTTGATATACACAGCGTAGAGCTTCATGTAGTCTGCCATTGTGAATATATGCGGATATCATTGAGTTCCAAGTGTAGGTATTTTTCTTCCCAATCTGATCGAAACTACTACGAGAAAGAGAAATATTCCGCAGGCGTGCATAAACATTTATAAGTTTAGTGCCAGCATGAACACTCTGAACCTCTCCAAATACGATAAGAAGGGCGTGAAGGCATTTTGCAGTATAGAACTCAGTGCAAGAATGGAGTTTAGTTACAATCTCTTCACTGTTTACTTCAATACCACTCAATGACTTATGATTGTAATTCCTACTAGTTAAATAGGTTTGGTGATGAATCCGAAAGAGTGTCCAAGTCTTTGAAACATACCTATCCTTGCGGGCTGCCAACATCCTGCGAAGGAACAATGAGGTAACCAAAATCAACTAGCAAATTAACAGTTTTATATCTCATCAACATCACCTTAACATCCACTATGTTGGGGCCAGTAACATGAAATTTATAACGAATTAATCCATTCATTCATCATTCATCATCATTACACTCATTATAGCGAATTAATGAGTTCCTAAAATTAATTAGCATTATAAATTCATGAAGGTAATAAAAAATCATTCAGATGATTTCTCTGTGCCAGTTCCCCCCTAGGAAGCACGGAAACGCCGGGTAGGGGGAGGTTTCAGTACAGGAAACGTTTCGGAAACGCGAAACGCCAGGAAACGGCCGGAAACGGAAACGGCCGGAAACGTTTCTGAAAGGTTGGGCTTCTGGGCCGGTTGGGAAACGTTTCGGAAACGTGGCTGGGCTTGGGCCTAGGCGTTTCCGCAGAAACTTAAAAAAAAAGGGCTTTAATTTAATGGCTTACCTCTGCGCGAAGACTCTGCGAAAGGGAAGACTGCGATTCTGCGAACGAAGAATCTGCGAAGGAGACGGAGAGTCGGCAGGGAGTAGTGAAATGGTGAACTGCGAACGAAGTGCTGAGTGCTGACTGCTGAACTGCTAAGTGCGAACGAGGTACTGAACGGCGATTCTGCGAACGAGGTGCTGAACTGCTGAGCACTCCTATTTTCCAATATTGCATTTATCTGTATTTCATTTCAAACATTTCTGGTCCCTCTTTTAATATCTATATGGAATAGTTCTTATCAATTTATGAGCAGGAGAATTGTCGTATAAAGTCCCCAGCCCCAAGTATTCACCTAATCTGAGTAATCCCCCGTTAGGTGTTCAGCCACAGATTACCGCATAGCACTTTTTACAACAGTACTCAACTTTCTTCAAATCACATAATGTTCCTTTTATGCCAAATGCAAAAAAAAAACTCCGTAGTATCTGCAGAACAGTTGGTAATTGGTAAAGAGAGCAAGTTCAATGTTAGGATGTTACCAGTAAAATGAGGATCAAGATCCATGGGCCTCACACTGATGTCCCTTAAAAATGAAGCAATCAGGAAAAAACTACGGAGTATGACCAAACTTCATGGTCACTAATATATCTTGCTGAATGGTAAATGGTGCCAGAGAAGGCAAAGAATAGGCAGTTCTTATATATACACCGGGGTGTACGGGTGGGAACGGTACACGGAGGTATTTTTTTAATATTTTAAAGCTTCAACTCAATTTAAATGAAATTTAATGAATATAATAGAGGCTCACAATAATTAAAGAGCAATCCCCATAAACAACAGATCCGGAGTGGAAAATAAACAAAGGGGTCAATTATTTTAACGGTGTCATTTTTGTAATTTAAGCGAAAAATCACGTCTCCTGCTAAATGAACAATAATGTACTTTTAATGAGCATTTGACCTATTTTATTGAGTATTAGAAGGCTAATTATGAGTATCACAATCTCTGTTTCACATCTTCTAATTCTTTTTCTTTTTTATTATTTTTTCTTTTATAAAAACTTATTAAATTATATCTATAATCTACTCCTATTAATTTCAATATGCGAGTCTAATGTAATATGATACTTTTGGAACATGCATTGATATGACATTTTAAAAATGAGCATAATATTAGTACAAAATGAGCATACATAACTTACAAAGTGTACATTATATGAAAATTGTAAGGTTTGTTAGTTGAGCATCATGACATTTTAAATGAGCATCAACCTCCACTATTGAGATGAAAATCACGACTTCTGGAAAATGAGTAATAATGAACTTTTAATGAGCATCAAACCTATTATATTGAGTATTAGGAGTATAATATAAAATACTCTGTAGTACTTTTAAAATGCATTGATATGACATTTATAAAATGAGCATATGATCAGTCTCAGATGAGCATACGTAACTTACAAAATGAGTATTAATGAATTTGTTAGTTGCTTTTTTAGTTGAGCATCAAGACATTTTCAGTGAGCATCAAGCCTCCGTTATTGAGTATTACAATCTGTGATTGAGTATCATGATTTGTTGTCTCGTGTTTATAAACAACTCTTATATAAATCTAATGTAATATGAGACTTTTGAAATGTGCATTGCTAAAATATTTTAAAAATGAGCATAACAGAGATACTAAATGAACATACATAATTTAAAAATGAGTATTCAAAAATTCAAAAGTTCATTTGTGTATGTTCATTTTTTTAAACATTTTACTCATTTCAGTTTAAGGTAAAACTCATTTCTAATGTGTTTGGTATAATATATGAAAAAGAGAAAGAGGTAAAACAAATAAAGAAAGGAAAAGAAGTAAAAAACCAAAGAAAATAAGTAAAGAAAGTAAAAGAAAAAGACAAACTCAAAGAAAGTGAAATCAACCACTAAAAAAAGTAAAGAAAATAAAAAACAAAAAGACAAAAAACCTAACAATCAGAACCACTAAAAAAAGTAAAGAAAATAAAAAACGAAAAAATACAAAAAGTAAACATAACGATCAGAATTGATGACGGCAGAAGAAAGAAAGGAAAAGTGGAAGGCGGCGGAAGAAAATAAGGAAAAGTGGAAGGCGGCGGAAGAAAAGAAAGAAAAGAGGAAAGCAACGGAAGAAAAGAAAGAAATAGAAAAGAAAAGATGATGGTTGGTGAAGACGAAAGATATGAAAAGAACATGCTAACGCAGAAACTTGAATTTGGATTATTTACAAAAATACCGGGTGTATCTATACACCCGGATGTAGGATATAATTTGACAAGAATAGGTAACCACAAATACAGAAAAAAAAAACTTGTTTTCGTCAAATCAATATATCAAATATCTTTAGCGCACATTTTTTTTGGGGTTAGGTCATGAATATTACTAATTAAAAGTGTTTGGACAAATATATGACCTCTTTCAATAATTTCCAAAAATGAAACCATTCGTATGATCTATTAGTAACTTTGGAATGGAATTATCAAATATGCCCCTCCTTAATAAATTAATACTTCGTATGCAATGAAATAATTCACATGCCCATGTAATCACATTTCACTCTTGTTCTTCATTTCCACTTTTCCGGTGCAGATGTTTAGGCAAGCCAAAAAAGTTGAACTTTATATCCTTCCCTCCGATTAAATTTATTCGATGACGTGCCGCCAGTTAGAGTTACATGATCTGCCGGTTACAATTACCCGATTCACCAGTTACATGACTTGCCAGTTACAATTACGTGATTCACCAGTTACTGTTACTCACTTACCCGACCCACATGCTAAAATTACCCGATTCGTCAATTACAATTACATGACTCGCCAATTAGAGTTACCCGTTCGCCAATTACTCGTGTCACTATAGCCATCGCTCATGTCACTATAGCCACCGCTCATGTAATAGTGACATTATGTAATAGTGACATAACCCGTCCTAGTGACTTCCCGCCATAGACTCCGGGCACACCACCACCGCCGGTCATGGTGACACCACCGTCGCCGACCACAGTGACACCGCCGAAGTGACACAATCACAATGACACCGTCGGCCAGTGACACCGCCAATGTTAATTGCAGACAACAAAACACCGCAAGTATCCCCACCACCACTGCCACCGAGCTGCCACCGTGTCACCATCGCATACACCGACAGTCCCCAACCCTAGCCCTCAACCTTCAGTCCCCACAACCGCCGTCGTAACCTAGCCACCAACCAAGCCGCCAACCAATCACCAATCTACAACCAATCGTCGATCTGGTATCGAGGCTCCGTCAATGAGGACCACAACGACGGTAGGGAAGAAGACAACTCTGAATCGCCTTCCTTCGGTCGGATAGAAAGAGAAGAACAAGAAGACATAGGGTAGGGCGAGGATAGGGCAGATGACGAGGGCAAGGTCGGTGATGGCAAAGATTAGGGCGGCGATGAAGATCTGATGAAGCGCGACACGATTCCAACCATTTTCGTCCAATAGCGCTCAAATGAAGATGAAGTATCGCCGATTCCAATTCCAATAGCTGATTGTCGTGCGACGGTGACGATGGGAAGACCAATAGAAGCAGACGAAGACCACATATTCGCATCGGTCTTCATTGTCGTGGTTGAATAAGGAGGTTGCCGCTCGTTGTAACCGTCACCCCTCGTCGCGCTACTTCTCTTCATCGCTGCACACCCCTCGCTGAGCTTCGAGAAATTGAAGTGAGAGGGTGTCCGTCCATTCAAAAGATGGGGAACAGGATAGGGATTAGGGATTCAGGGGCATTAAAGTCAATTCAAAAATTTTCAGTAACTTTTTTGTCCTTGCGGGATTTACTCCTATTTTTGTCCTCCAAAACTCTGATAGTAATAATTAGGCCATTCTTTCATTTTTTTAAGGCGAGAAGAAAGAAGTTGACCTAGTATATTCTTAATCCTGAGCATCTGTTGAACTCCGCAAGCGCTGAAAAGGGTTAGCATGGCGGGTAAACGATTTTGGTCAACTCAAAGCTTGACAGAAGTTGAGAACTGAGAACGTGAGAAGGGCAATACCGGAAGCCTGAATATTCCATAAAATTCTTCTCACTTTCCTTTTTGGGCCGTCCCAAATAATTCTTCTCACTTATCATTTTTGGATAATTTATGTGGTTCACATTCATTTCACCTTTTTTACACAACCACAACTATACATTTCCACTTTATTTCACTTTCTTAATCTCCATACCAAGTCAAAGTGGGAAGATTTTTTGTGGGACGGAGATAGTACTACGTTACATTTTCTGTAAAAAAAATAAGCGTCACATTTCCATTTTTAAAAAGAAATATATGATACACAACATTTCACTTTATTATACTCATGTTTCAATCACAACTTTTACATTTTCAACCACTTTATTAATAATTGTGCCAAAGTCAAATGAGACACATAAAATGGGACGGATGTAGTAAAAGTTACTCTGTATGTGTTTGAGGTTTGTGCAGAGGAGAGGGAATTAAAACCACAAATTCTTTATTACTTCTTCCGTATCTATTTACTTATCACACTTTCCTTTTTGGTGTATCAAATTAATTGTTTCCTTTTCTTTTTAGGAAAGAATCTCACTCAAAAAACAACTACAGTACCTCTACACTATCAAAACCTTTTACTTTTTATAAAGTCTACAGTAATTGTTTTAAACTCCGTGAAAAGTAAATGTGTCATCTAATTAGATACGGAGAGAGCAAAAGAAAAAGTTGACAAAGTTTTAATGCACAGAGGGAGTATTATTTATATTTAGTTTTTAAACATATGCGGCGGTTATAAGATAAAGAACCGTCACCATTTTGTATTATTTTTTTTAACCGGAAAATGTTCAAATATACCCTTGTAGTATATGTCGGTGATGGATAATTGATACACATATTGTATAAATTAGGAGAGATGAACAAAGAATTAAGAAGGAGATGAGTAGTGTATTATGAGTGAGTTTGTGACTTAGGTTTACAAGTCTCCTATAAGGAGTATATATAAGGAAATCCGGGTCTCGACCTCTACTATGGGCCCAACAGACCAGGTTACATAAATGGACTAATAGTATAAAAAGCTAATCTAGTACATACAATGAATATGTAAACTGTAAGGTAATCTTCGTACCTACACATTTAACATACATATAATTTTTTTCCTTGGGGTTTATGTTTCCGATCAGGAGTTCGTCACTTGAAAAAAGTGGAAATGTGAATTGTTAATGTAATGATAAAATACTTAGTAGAGTTGATGGGTGAGTCATTCGTAAGCAACGGTCGCCACTCGAGGAATGACTAAGACCGGTCTTCGTGCCCGACTTGGTCAGGGCTTTGTGCCTGAGCTGGGTCAGGGCTTTGTGCCTGATCTGGGTCAAGGCTTTGTGCCTGATCTGGGTCAGGGCTTTAAATCCTAGTAGTGGGTCTCGAGTCACAGTCTACTAGGCATTTGATCATAATTGTGTGATAGTTTGACATTCGTCCGACAAAAAGAAATGATTTAAATAAATATAAATAATATGAATTGGATGGAGCTAGTTTTGGAATACTTAGCTTCTGTTTGGGCCGAAAATAAGGGGCTGTGAGAGATGTTGGAGAAATTGAATCCTTGACTCCTTATGGAGGAGGCCCACCAATAATTTTGACCAAGTTGACCTAGCCCATTGTTAATCTGCTGCTTTCCCCCTCTACGTCTGGCAAGCGGGAATCCTTCTGCGGCTAATACCCAAGTATCACGCCGCTACTGTAGATCATCCAAGGGAGCCGTCCACAACTACTGGGGAAGATGGCGACGAGGCCCTCTCAGACGCTACTAGCAAAGAAGCTTCCTCCGACGGACCCAGTGGCAGAGTGCAACTATCGAAAGCGGTGCCGTCATGACTCTGGCAGCACCGGCGATGCTCGCGCAGGTGACGATGAGGGACAACGATGCTTTTCGCCAGTGTGAGTGTTCCGTATCCATATGGTTGCACTGGTTTGCGTTCTGTCACTCTTGAATCTTTTGGCTATCATTAATGGCGGATGTTTAAAGCCCCTAAGCTCGAGCGACCGAGCTAGATGACTACGGAGTGGCCCAGGTCCGATCCTTTGGCTGCGAAAGCGATCAGCATGATATCGGAGGTGGTTTGTAGGGCATCAACCTCCACAACGTTGCGGACAAGTAGGTGGGCGCAGATCTGGACGGGAACCTGCAAGCCTGGAGCGACGACAGTGCTGGGTTCGGAACGACGGGGACGAGGCATGGTACAACGTACGTACCAAACTTTAACAGGTGCACTGGCAGATGGCAGATGGGGCGCGGCAGTGATCGGCGGCTCAGATATTTCATCTCCGGTTTTTTTTTTTGTTCTTGACATTTTCAGATCTGTTTTTGACTGATTTCTTGTGATTTGGGTGAATTTTTGGTTGTTTTGGGAGGTTTAATTTTCTCACTTGATTGTGTTCAAACCTCTCAATGAAAGCACCATTTGATGGATAATTGATATCCATATTGTATAAATTAGGAGAGATGAACGAAGAATTGAGAAGGAGATGAGTAGTGTATTATGAGTGAGTTTGTGACTTAGGTTTACAAGCCTCTTATAAGGAGTATATATAGGGAAATCCGGGTCTGAGCCTCTAATATGGGCCTAACAAACCCAGTTACATAAATGGACTAATAGTATAAAAAGCTAATCTAGTATATACAATGAATATGTAAACTATACAGTAATATAAATGTTGTCTGCTGGTGTACGTGAATCGCTATCTAGGCCCAATAGTCGGCAGGCGGGGGAGTCAGGATCCATATACTCCATCAGTCGGAGAACAAATATACCCATGTTCTATTTATTTTTTTTGGAACAAATATACCCTTGAAAGTTTATGTTGCAATGCATATATACCCTTGAACTTTTAAAAAGTGCAAAAATACTCCTCGTGTTTTTATCAATGGCAAATTTACCCTTGTTGACTTTAAATAGATAGAATAAATTTCAAAAAATGCCAAAAATAAATGATAACGAAATTTAAAAATTAAAATTTATTATTATGTTGAAATATTAACTCTTCAATTTTAAATTGCAAAATCATTTTTTCCTTTCGTAAATGAAGCACTTTAAATTCATAAATATTAATTTTAGTATTGTTCTAAAATTTTGAACACAATGTTACATTTATTGAAATAACATTCTTTGACTTTGTTTACCCTTAATAAAATTAAATTCACTATTTTGTAATCTTGGGCTATCTATCATACAAAATATGTAATATTATAGTGCAAAGAATGGACTATAAAATTTGTGCACAAATCTCTACCATACAGTTTTTACTTTATTATTCTACGTGCCGGTCAAACTTGACAATCCTTTTAGAGACGGAGAGAGTATTTTTTAACTTTACATATGCAACTAGCGTGTGATAATAAGACAGGGGATATAAATAATCAGATAGAAGATTGAATATTAAATATCAATAGAATGAAGTTCTTTTTCCTTGAAATTTAGATACAAGATGTGCAATGCGGTGAAAGTCAAGACCCAATATCAAAGAAATGTTAAATTTTAGTATATTTACATGGTCACATCCATCACTCGATTTCTTACTTCATAATTTTCCCATAAAAATATTATAGCCTCTAACAAAAATGGATGAAGTAATAATATATGAAAAAATATCGTGTCAAATGATCATAATGGATAAGCAAAATTGTATACAGGATTGACGATTTGCTCCTCTTATGATGCCGGCTTGAGAGAAGTAACTTTAGGCATATGTTTTTAAATGAATTCTTTGACTATGTAATATATATATTAAGAAAGTATTTTATTGATAAAAGGAAAATAGTACAATGCTAAAAAAGAAAAATGGAAAGCATTACGAATAAAAATGTGAGAAGATTAAATAAAACGCTAGTCCCATGGGAAGTCTCTGGATTGAGATCTTGTGGTCATGTTGTGTCGCCTTTTGTTTTTCTGACTTTTCCTGTAAATTTTCAGCTGCGTGTTCTGGTTATCTGTTGGGAGACAATTATATAATATATATATATATACATATATATATATATATATTACATAGTCAAAGAAATCATTTGACTAGGAGCTGCGACCGTCTCCCTTGAATAAGGGTTCCAGTTTATCTGCTGTTTGAAGGCTGAATTCAAAGGCTTTGTTTGATGGCTTCAGCTTTTGGTCCTATTTTTGTAAAGGAAATGCTACATCTTATTACTTGGGAGATTGGGGTGATAATAAGGCATTCTATGGGAGTGGATATTGCTATGTGCCGATGGACAGTGATCAATGTATTTCAAGAGTTTCATATCCAGAAGAAGTACCAAATCTGACTCAAGACTCTTCAATGGCACTGACCAAGCTCCGAAAAGATGGTAATCTAGAAAGAAACAGATCAAAGTGAGATGTTCCAAGCAATGAAAATGATATGGAGAAGTGTCTGAGAGTTGATAAACAACCAAGAAGACACTGGGAAGTAGGAATAATCCTCCAAGGTGATGATGGCAATGAGAGACAGGTTTTACTCGGAGGGAGTGATGATCCAAACAGGCAGAACTTGAAGATGAAGGTTCAAGGATAGAAGCTACAAGTCCAGGAGTCAGTGAAGTACTGGGAAGGGATGAGAAGGGAGAGGCGCCAGAATGAAGATAAAGTTGAAGATCAAGGCGATTTCCTATCACTCACCTTGAGGACAAAGTGGATGTTGAAGGGGGAGATATGACACGACTCCGGAAGAATAGCACTGATAATAATAAATAAGAGTAATAATAATAGTAGAATAATTAGTATAAATAGAGGTTGAGGCAATGTTCTAAAAGGCGTAAGGCGTGCTGAGGCGGCACGATCAAGCCCGGTGCCTTTGAAGCCTAGGCGGGTTTAGGTGAAGCCTAGGCGTGAAAAAGCGTTTTCATTTTTTACTATTATTTTAATTTTTTTTCTATTATTATGTATGTATATGTAATACTCCGTATTACATAATATCATATACCAAAATTACACTTTTTATATGACAAAATTCCAATAACATTACTTATAAAAACGCCGTGGACAAAAATGTGACTTGATAACTATTATTTACTATAATTATGTTCAAAGTTATATCGCATTGACTACACATGTTGTCACTGCGATGTAAGTTTGAACACAATTATAGTCAGTACTAGTTACCAAATTACATTTTTGTTCATGATTTTTTATTAGTAATATTTTTAGAAAAAAATCCTTTTTATATTTTAATAGAATAAATTTTTGGGAAAATGGAAACTAATAATCCAACCTTTTGAATAGGCCATGCGTTATGGCGGCGCATCAAGCCTAGGCGGCGCTTTTCTAAGCCTATTTCTTTTATTGCTCCAACTTACACCTAGAAAAATACATTCATCCCAAATTACAAAAATAACAACTCTCATCTTTCAAATTCTGAATTTTTCCTTATGAAGATTTAATAGGTCTCTTTTTCTTTTGTACCAGAACTACAAATTTGTATCGCCCGTTAAAATTTAGGCCTCAACAACAAACAGTGAACTCATTTTCCTTGCACCCAGACACATACGTTCTTGACTATCTAATCTAAACAAGATAAAAGTAAGTTTGTCATTAAAGACATGAATGAATAACTATATGTAACCAAAGTTTGTGCAATGGAATACGTTTTTAAGAACATTCTATGAACAATTATATCTAACCAATGCTTATCTAATAAGTATATTACTCATCTAACCAACCATTATGTCCGGCCTATTCGGGGTGCAAGAGATTTTCAGCAAGATTTTGCACCATTACAGCTTTGAATGCCTGGACACCATAATTAGGAAAGTTTCCCAGTCCGTTGATTCCAAATTTCTTCCAAATCGGGTCTTCTGGTCCAAACTTATCAAACAATACCCAAACAGAACATGTCTCCCACTGGCGCGTTAAAACCAAGATTTCCCCGGTGGGAGTTGTTGTAAGAGTGCAAAAAATTTTACCTCTGCCCACCCGAAACTGCCCAAGCAGCTCAAATGGAAGAAGGAAAGTGTGCTTCTTCCAGCACGAGGCCGAGTTCGCCTCCGTATCCAAACTCCAGGTAATAAGCATGTCTTGAAAGAGAAGAATGACAGTAAACCGGCCGTCCAATTCTACGAAAGAGGATTTCTCCAAATCACCTTGTTCCATAGCTTCCATTACACTTTTGTCCGGAGGGAGAGCAATCAGGCGAAAAGTCTCCGATCTGAGATCGAATGCCACGATGGGAAAGTCACGGCCTGCTGCTTTCGTCCGCCTCCCATTGTAGAAATAGAGAACACCATTTATGCAAACACTATTGTTGAAATAACAACCAGGGTAAAATTGTGCAGAGGAGTTAATCTCCCGCCAGGTTGCATCCACGCCCAGTGTCAGCACCCAGTGCTTGACGGTAGAGTCACCAAATTCCGATTTCAAAACTTTGTATGTTGCCGAGGAGCTGTCGAATCCCAAGAGCACGAGAGCATTGGTCTTATAAACGGTCCAATCCGGAATTGTTGTCGGGAGGGCAGTCTGTTGTCCGGATCTGAGGTTGCCAATCACCCCTTCTCCTTTATTAAGGCAGTCGGAGAGATATATCAGATCTCCCGCAGAAGACCCGTATCGGAATTCGCTGAAGTTGCCAACACGCTTTGCTTCAAGGGGCTGATTTCCTTCGTGAGATTTGTAATTTATGGTGTAAAACTCATCCGGCGGGAAACAGTACTTGAACCACGCGGATTGGTCCGTGAAGCCACCAGATTTAGGAGTATCAAGCGCAGCTGAAATAGAGAAGAGTATGGTTGTGCCGCGGTCAGCCGCCGTGGACCAATTCCGGTGAAACTCGACGAAACTTGGAGCGGTGATTATGGAGCGGAAGGATTGGGAAACGCAGCATAGCTTCCCTCGAGATTTGGCACCAAGTCGAATAAGAATTTCGAAAAGCATATCTTGGGGAAGAAGAGAAAGCTGGAAGAAGAGATTTGGATTAGGAAAAGGAATTCTCTGTCTGGCATGATCGTCTTGTTGGAATAGACGCTCCATGTTCATACGCAGACGGCAGGATGTGCAGTAGTGGTGGTTTGATTTTAATCCGTATGATATAGTCGTACTGCTCACATAGGTTTTTTTAGTTGGGCTGCCACGCACGACAGTTGGATTAGACCGATTAATTCAGACTAGAACAGATCAGGACCACTAGGTTTGGTAAAATTAGGTTTGATGAAATTTAAGTTAAGATTCATCTAAATTGTGATATGATTTGAATAAATTTGATTTTTTCTACTCCGATATGATTTTATATGAATCTTTCTAATTCGATTAAATTTTATAATCTGATTTCATTGGAATTTTTTCATGACTAAAAAGTGTTTATTGTTATAATAAAACATATTATTTTTTATTTGATCTGGGACTAAAATTAAAACATCCTTATACGATACTTTTAATATTTTATAACAAGTGTAGCTGTTAATGTTTATTTTTTGAGAGAGAAAAAGTGATATATATATATATATATATATATATATATATATATATATATATATATATATATATATATATATATATATATATATATATATATATATATATATATATATATATATATATATATATATATATATATATATATATATATATATATCACTTTATTGATAAATAGGCCTACAACTATATTTTAGAATATGCCAATAGGTGAATTGATTTGAGTATTTAACATCCAAAAATGCTAAGAGCCCGTTTGATTATACTGAAATTTAAGAAATTCTTGCTGGAGTGGCTGCATTGGCTGATTCTCTGCTCATTTATTAAAAAGTTATATTTAAAATATATTTTATTAATAAAATAAAGCAAAAGTTATATGAAAAATAGCTAAAATGTTCTTCTACAGTAACTTCAGTCAATACAGCCAGAAAAGTAACTTCAATCTTACTTTTCTTATTACACAATTCAACGCATGAAATCAAAAGTTACGTGTTTGGTGAAAACATTGACTGATAAGCCTGATAAGCCAAAAAACGGGCTCACCAAACGGGCTCAAAATATTCATTTTTTAACCGGGGCTCTAAATATTCATATTTAACACTATTAAAAATATTTAAAATGTTCCAATAAATGTAATATCAAATAACATTTTTGAATACACACATGCACGCGCGCGCACAACATTGCTTACTAAGTATGACTTTGTATAATTATTTAATGATAGTGAAGAATAATTATTTTAAAAGATGATATATATTAAATTACTTTAGTAATCATAAAATTTTATTTAAAAGTTGATTAGTTTTCAGGTGTTGACCGGATTGATGAATCAGATTTGGGTGTGCGTGATGCGGGTGAGATTAATTATTTATTATTTAAAATGTAATACTCCATATGAAATAATAAACATAATCATCGATAAAAGTTATAAATGATAAACTTGGGTATTTTTGAAAATATTTAAGTATAGTTTTTTTTACTCTGTATACTTCATTTATTAATATTCTAATGAATACACCATCAATAGGAAAATAGAGAATTGTTTAAAATAAGATTAAAATATACATCGTGCTACGTATATAAAGTTTAAAAAAATCATCAATATTTTTTTCTTAAAATATGATTCATTCACACCCAATTAAAAAGGGTTTATACTTTTAATATTTTATTGTGGCAGATTAGTAAAGTCATACTGCAAAACAATATTAACAACGTATAATAACGTTTCGATCAAGCTACATCTGCACACTCTTCAGTTTTTCTAGCATTTCGTGGTACGTAAAAATCATAAAACTTATCATAAATAAATAAATTAATCCCATTTAGTAAAAAAATGTATTCATAAAATGTATTGAGAATGTATTCCATTGGCGTTCCATGTCCATCTATTAACAAATTCCACATTATTAACCAAAACAAGATTGTACAGGTGTATTTAAATTCTAAATCCAATCAATATGTGTTTGTCCATTATTGGTTGACCTACCATATAGCCATAATGTCAACTATGTATTCGACCATTATATGGTCGATTAAATCACAAATCTTTCATGGTCGACCAAACGTTGGCCGATACCAGGTAAATATTTATGTTTCGACAAACAATAATAGACAATTTTATGCAGATGACTTCTTAACCGGTACATGTTGTTTACAATGGGGAAGGGTAGAAGAACAGTTTAAGGGAATACACATTTGTTTGTAATAATGAGATTGTTTCTTTAGATTGGGACGCTTCTAAAGTAGATCTTCAATCCTTTTTGAAGTGTATTTATGAGTAGGCATGATATACCTCAAGGGCTCATAAGTTGAACATTTATGTCTTTTCTTTTCTTTTTGAAAGGAAAATGACTATATTGATATCATTAGAATTAGGATCGTTACAACAATCTCAAAATGATCAGAACTGTCAACAACATTCACCTTCCAACTACTACTTTTAGCCCTACGATTAGACATAGAGACGACCACCCCTAAAGGAGCAATACGAGCCGCTAACTACCAGACAGGCTTAATGGAGCTATTGCTGAAAAATAGATTCGTCCCCCACTAACAATATCAAATCTAGTTGAACCCTCGATCAATGTAAAAAACCTATTACCATAAGCAAATACCAAAAGCAAAACGATAGCAACTAATTTATTCGAAATCAGACTAAATATGGGGACAATGAGTTTATGCAGGATGAACTTATTGAGCCGCTGAAACCAATCTTCCAGCGTTGTGTTCTGTCACCTAATCACCCATTTCCAGCATGGCAGCGGTTCAGGAGGGGGGCGTATCTTCGTCCCTTCATCTTCTTCCTTCATCACCCGATCTGCTCGTGATTCGCCTCCATCTCTTGGACAACATACCGCACGAGCACAACTAGTCCAAACGCAACCAGTCTCCAGATCCCTATCATCTCCCCTGTGCTGCAATTGAGATTCGCCAAGACCCTGTGCTCCAGATGAGGAAAACTAGCAAAACTCCGAGACACTGAAGCGCCAAGAAAGCTATAGCGCCGCCCACCAAAAACCTAGACTTGCTAGGACCGCCGCCGCTGTGAAACTAAGCCCTCCGTCGCTCTTCTCTCACCTCCTCGCTCTCTCTAAATCGACGCTAGGTTTTGTTACGATTTCATATCTGAAAAATGTTGAACATGTCTTTTCAAGTCCCACACTTTGTTATGAGTATTTTTCCTTATACTTTAGATAATAGTAAAACACTTTCCATATTTTTGAGAGAAAAGGATTCAACTGTACTAGTGTGGAGGTTATTGAGGTAAAATTTGTCATTGATGAGATTGAATCTGTTGAAGTGACCGACATACATTTCTCAATGGGAGATTTTACAATACATTATGTGAAAAATAGTTCTAAGCATGATAAGTAGAGCTTTACAGATTCATGTTTTCAATGTAATATTGTTGTTGAAAAAGATTTTACACATTATTAAGATCAGGACATATTGCATGATGATCAAGATGAAGATGTTCGTACAGTGTCCATACGGAAAAGAACCAAAATCCCTATACATTCAATTGACCTTAATTAATCCTGTGAAAGTAACTGAACAAGTCGACCAAGTGTCGGTCGATCGCGCAGAAGTCGACTGAGTGGTTGATCATGCAGAAGTCGACCAACCGTTGGTCGATTGTCCAGATCCGGGCATGATAAACGTTATATTTACTTGTGTTTAACACGAGTATTCATAAGTATTTGTTGAAGAAAAGAAAGGAAATTGGGCAAATACCTTCAGAATGAGAGTTAGAGCATAAAACATTGTGATGAACAACTTTTTGGACCAACAGGATGACGTTCTGCCCATAATTCGAGTATAACTTAATGTAGAGAACTCAAAATGAGTCGATTCGAATTTCATGTGAATGAACTCAATAAACTACAAATGGTGTGAAGACGTCATGGGCAGAATATGACAGGATCAAGATCCAATCAACCAATAAAGTCATATGTTGCTGATGGGATTTCAGGATGCGTACCTCTCAATGTTTTATCCATATTTTTTGATTGGATGATTGAAAAAACGTAATTCATGTTTTAGTGGATAGAAGACTTAATTATCTACAACTTTGGTGAAAGAATCATGTCCAAATTCGTAAAGGAACATCCCCAAATTTCATGAAGGGAACCGGCGTCGGAATTGCACCAAACCAGCGCCGGTAATTGTATAAATTCCGGCACCAAATATGTGGACCCACAATTGGCACCGGTTCTCCACCCAACCAGCACCGGTTCAACACACTTTTCGTGAAATTACTCACAAACAGGCGCCGGTTACACCCCAATCTGCAGAAAAATAAGACGGCGTGCTCGAATATTTTGAGTTGAAATGAAGATATTTGGAAGGTATGGCTCGGAAAATTTGCCTCGAATTGATTGAGGATCATGAATAGACTATCAAAGATAATTTTCAAGCCTATATAAACCCTCCAATCCATCCCAAAATAATCATCCAATCCCAATTTAATCCATTAGTTCATAACTAGCTTTTATTTGTTCTTCATGGTGTTCTTGAGGTGTGGAAGCCAATTTCTTCCAAAGATTGAGGTTTAGGTAATATTTATTTCATATTTACATGTTCTTCTATATTCAAAGTATTGTAATATTGATTAATGTGAGTGTTAGAGGCTAAGTCCTTAAGCCAAGGCTCGGGATGAACCTCTAGGCCCGCTAGTTTTCTGTATTTGTTCTAAATCAAGTTTTATAATTTATTCTTCTTAAGTTTAACTTTCCATATATGACTATATGTTATGCAACATAATGTTATAATATATGTATTGATATAAAGTAACTAACCTTGAAATATCAATTGGACACTAAAAGAAGTAATTCACTTTTTACTCTCTTTAAACTAAATTTGTACCATTATGTTGCATAACATGTAGAGGTTTATATGGTCAATTAACGTTGCAATATAGATCATTCTCTAGAAGAATAAACATACAACGTATTTAGGATAGCAATATACCCGATCTTGTAAGGTGCATGTGTGGTATCTTAATACACGTATGGAAAACCACGCTCTCATTGCCTTAACTGGAGTCGAGAGTACAATTGCTCTGTTGGGGAGCACACTCACACACTGAGTTAGACTACTTCAAGATATGTTGGAGAGACCGTTTTA